GACGCCAAGTTTATCATAAATTCTTTTGTGAAAAAATTTTTGTAGCGGAATTGCCCATAAATAAAAAATGACGTGAGGTGATTATTTATTTACCTTCCGTTTTTGAATCATTGCTTATATTGAAAAAATACCTTAAAAAGTATTATTCGAAAATTACTGAGCAGAAAAAATGTTTCAACATGAAAAGAACAACAAAAAAGGAAAACATTTGATTACTAAGGATTTTGGATGAGACAAAAAATGTGAGGGGAGGGAGGAGGAGGATATTAAATAGATATAAATATAAAAGGAAAATAAAAATAAATAAAAATAAAAACAAACTTTTATTTTATAAAAAAAAATAAATTTATTTTTTATTTATTTAATTCTTCAAAAATATTTTTAATAAAAAAATGTTCTTTTTCAATAATAACGGAAATACAGAATATGCAGAATTGGAAGCAATGCTATTAGCTAATTTTCCCCCTCCTGTATAATTATTTAATTTAAAAACAATTTTTATAATAAAAAAACAAGAATCGAAATCTCTAAAAAATATATTGCCTTTCAACATTCTCTGGGAATAAAAAAACAACAATGAATACAAAATTAATTTGATGATATTTTATTGTTTTTTGTGCAATTAATAAATATGTATATTAATTAAATATTATTTATTTTTATTTGTATATTTATTTTAAGAAAATAAAATCTTATTAAATAAGGATTTTTATTTATTTTTATATCCAAATATAAACAAGAATATTTAATTAAACGCAGATAAAAATAAATAATATAAATTTTTTGTTATCTATTTTTAGATTTTATTTATTAAAAATTAAAAATATGTACATTTAAAAATAAAAATAATTATTTATCTAGTTATGGACTAAATAGAGTTAATATATCCTTTTTAGGTAAAAAAATGTGTAAGAGAAAAATTCAGAAATTTTTGATATTGGTTCCGAATATCTTTTGTTTACATTATGAGTGTAATTAAGAATCGAAAAGGTCTATATGGTATTAATATGTACTAAATTTGTGGAAGGTAGAACGGAAGTAAAAAATTTTTTGGAATTTAAAGTTTAAAAATCTTTAATTATTATAAAATATAGAGTAAATGTATTCCATTACTAAAATATTTAACAATTTAAAAAAATTAGTAAAATTTCTAAAAAATAAATAATGGGAATTTTAACGTTTTTTAGTTAAATAAATTAAAGGTATTCAATTAAATTTTAAATTGTTGTCTAAAATATTTTAATTATTCGTTAAAAACCCCTCTTTTAATTCTTTTTTAGTTCAATATAATCAATTATTTTTTTAATTTAAAGTTTAACCGGAAATTTAAAAGAATTACGCAAATAAAAGGACAAAAATAAAATAAATCACTAAGAAAAAAAATTGAATTGACAAAAAAAAGGAAAAGAATTTGCAAATAAGGAATAAAAATAAAGGAAGATTTGGCAAAATGTTGATAATTAGTAAGGATGTGTTGCATTAAATGTTTTAAATAAAAGGATAAAAGTTTTTAAAATATCAAATCATTCTTAAATATATTCACGAATAAAATTTAAACCAAAAAATTAAAATAAAAATGAATAATACTTCATTTTGCCTTGGTGGTGCGGAAGAAATGGAAGCCTATATTTTGGCTAACTTTCCACCTGTAACTTAAAAAAAAGGAATATTTAACTACAATTAATTAAATAATTAATTTGAAATAATTGCTCTTCCTTGATTGTCTTCTGTTTGTTTTTCAAATGAATGAAATTAAGGAAAGTAAAAAAATACATACAACACAAAAAACTTGAATGTTGATTGAAAATGAGAATTTTGGTTTTTGAAAATGAAAATAATTTGATATAATTTTAATTAATATTTTTATTATTTTTTGTTGTTGTATTTAATTGATAAATATGATTTAATATATAAATTGTAAATTATTTCGTCTTTAGTCTATTGTTTTTATTTGAGATTTAATTTCTAATTAAACCATCTAAGTTAACAATTTTTTATGATCATTCAGACTTTTTCTCATGTTTTGGCTTTTATTTCCGGTTCTCCTCCTTTAATATTGACAGACAATAGAACTAATTTTATTAGTTATTCTTCAATTATCTCCAATTTTTTACTAATTTATATTTCAGATAGGTTAATAAGATCATTTTGTTTTTTGTTTATATTAAGTATTAACTAAAAAATATTTTTTAACCTTAACATCATTAATTAAATATTAATTTTCTGTTTATTTTCTTACTTTTTAAAAACATATTTTTAAACTTAAAAGGAATGATAACATTTTATTTACTATAGACATGCAAAAAACATGTGAATAAATACTATATTTTAATTTAATATTGAAAAATTTTTAAATTAAATTTAGGTTACTTGAACAAAAAAATTGCAGGTAAAATATTTAATTAATTTATACTTTAAGATTATTAATAAAAAGGAAGAAATTAATAATTTAAATGACAAAAATTTATAAAAAAAAATTTAAATTATTTTACAAAAATAAAAATAATTAATATGTCTCATACATTGTTTTAAAATTTTTAAGAAATTCTCTGATCGGAAATAAGGTGTATTTTTCAAAAATATTATTTCATTATGATTCATTGGTTATTGAACAGTTGGCACTAAATATATTTTCAGATGAAATAAAAACACAAAAATGTATAAATATTTTTTGTACAAGGAAGTGATTAATTATTAATTTTTGACCAATCATTGTATTAAAAAAGGAATTAAATTTAATCATACTTTAGAGAAATAATTTTAATAAAATGGCAAGTTTTGAAATCACGAGGAATTTAAAAAATATTTATGCAGTAACACTCTCTCAACCATATAAAATAAACAAAAAAATTATTTTTGGCAATAAAATTATTTCTATTTTAAATTTACTTTTTAAATTCAACAAAAAATTAATATTTTTAAATTAAAAGAATAATGCCTGGAAATGGAAATTTTGGAGCACAAAATGCTGAAGAGCTTGAAGCACTTTTATTATCTCTATTTCCACCACTATAATGAATTAATATGATTGAAGAAAAAAGAGAAAGAATTATTTTATTAAATGGAGAAAAATAAATATAATTTATTTGTTTTGTTTGTTATTTTAAGAATAAATTATTTGAATATTTTTATTTCATTTTAAATATATAGACATCAGCTTAAGTATCAGGGACGCGCTTAGTCTCGTATCTCGTGAAATCTTCTATTTTTTGTGAGATCTCATATCTCGTTTTATCTCGTTTTCGTATTTTTTGAGAATCTCGTATCTTGTGAATCCCGATCTCTTATTTTGTGGGACTCGGCGCACCCCTGTTAAGTCTGATTAATAATTAGTCCCGGTTTAATATTTAATTTTGTAAGGAAAAATTACTATCTTTGAGAATAAATATTTCAACTTTCCTCGCAAACTGTTTACAAAAAAAAATTACAAATATAAAAATATATTTTTGTGTGTACAATCATTTCTCGATCGATTCAATAAAAATAAAAATGCTCACTTTCAATTTTTTGTAATTTGTTTTCTCCCAAATTTAATCCATTTTAACTATTAAATAATCTGAAAAATGATAGGTAAATATTTTAATTTTTAAAACAAATTTTAAATTTTACAAAAAAATTATTCTACCTCCTATGTACATGTTTTTTGTTTATTATAAATTTTTTTTCATAAGATTTAACCTAATATCATCATTAGTACAGAAAAAAACTTAGGGATATAGTGTAGTGTACCGGTGGTAAAAGTTCGGGACGTGACATATGTCATTCGATTCGTCTCGACGAGCTGAGTCGAACGGTACCACTCCCTACTTTAGGAAATAATTCTGGACCGAGTTATAGGTCCCGAAAAATCGAAAAACCAAAGGGGGGACCAAGCACATTTTTGGGGTGAAAAATTCGAATATGCAAATTATACCTCATTCGAAAGAGCTCGTCGAGCTGAGTCGAATGACACCAAAATCAGCTTGATTGAACAAGTTTGAGTCGAGATATAGGGCCCGAAATGGTCAAAAACCATAGGGGGGATTTTATGGTCAAAAATTCGATTCCACAAATGTTAGCTCATTCGAAAGAGCTCGACAAGCTGAGTCGAATGACATCAAAATCACCGTGATTGAACAAGATTAGACAAAGTTATGATACAAAAAACAAAAAACCTAAACCTATGGAGCGTCGGCGAGGCGCTTGTGCAAAACCCCGCGCTTCGCGCGGGGTTTTGCGGCACGCGCCTCGCGGGGAGTCTACGGGCGCTGGGTCTGGGCTCGTAACATAAACCTATTCCTATCTCCCTTGCTCTAGACGTATTTGGGGCCTCCGTAGCAGCAAAAATCTCCACAAATGACATAGGTAAGGAGCTAAAACAAACGGTCATAACTTTGTCAAATCAAGTCGGATTTTGTTGATTTTGGTGTCATTCGACTCAGCTCGACGAGCTCTTTCAAATGAGGTATAATTTGCATATTCGAATTTTTCACCCCAAAAATGTGCTTGGTCCCCCCTTTGGTTTTTCGATTTTTCGGGACCTATAACTCGGTCCAGAATTATTTCCTAAAGTAGGGAGTGGTACCGTTCGACTCAGCTCGTCGAGACGAATCGAATGACATATGTCACGTCCCGAACTTTTACCACCGGTACACTACACTACAGCCAAACTTAGTAAGTAAAAACGATCAGACAAATAAATTGCTTACTAATTATAATCTATTTTTTCTTAATGCATAGTAAGTAATTACAATTCTCTCCCCTTTTCCCCATTCATTTCACCAAAAGTATTTAAATAAGTTTTTAATTATTTTATTAACAAAACTTCCTTTTAATTAATTTTTAAATGACCCATTGTTTCACAGCAAGTAGCACTTATGGAACAGATAATTCAACAGAATCAACAACTCCACTCGAGAAAAAGGATGATAATGAAGAGAAAAAAGAGAAAAAAGATATGAAAAGTCAACGAAAAATTGAATACCAGGATTTGATTCTGATGGCTCGAAGTGGACAGGGAGATGCTTGGAAAGCGTAGATTTTAAAATTTTAATTATAAATAACTGAAAATTAAAATAAATATAAGGAAGTCTAAATAAGGAAGTCAAAAATTACTTGCCAATATACTCGAACTTTAAAATACCTAATTTAATCATTAACTTATTAATCAGAATAGCAAAGGAAAAAGACGGAAATACAAAAGTTGTGGTTATCAAAGCACTCCGTGCTCCTTTCCTCTCTCCAGCTGCAGCTAAATACACATTACGTGAATTGACTTTACTTTCTACATTAAAACATCCTAATGTATTTATTATATTAGATAAATAAAAATAATTATTTTTTTAAAGTTAATTTCTTTATATGATATAAGAATTCCAACAAAAATAAAACCTTTAAAGAAATTTGATGAATTACATTTTGTAACGGAATATTTTGGAAAAACTTTAAGTGAGAGAATTTCTGAAAAGAAAAGACTACAAAAAGTTTGGACACATCAAGAACTTTCCTATTGTATAATGCAAATACTTTGTGGGGCTAAATATTTACATGAATCGGGAATCGTTCATAGAGTAGGAAAATTTTCTTTTAATTAATTAGCAGTGGATATTTTGTGCCCCAGGCTTTAATAACCAGAGTTTTTAGAAGCCCTACCATGTTTGCACTAGGCTCTGCAAACATGGTAGGGCTTTTTGATTTTGATTTTAGTTAGCTGAAAATTTTTGATTATTAGAGGCAAGGATGCCAAAATTCAATATAAACAATTTTAAATTTCATCGACTCTAAATAAATTTATTTAAAATTTTAAGGATTTAAAACCAACAAATATTGTAATGAATGAAAGGGGTAATGTTAAAATTCTTGATTATGGTATTGCTAGAGATATTTTACCAGAAAATTTAACTCCAGATGCAGGTACACCTTTCTATCGAGCACCAGAATTATTTCTTGGAATAAATAGTTATGACAAAAAAGGTAATTGAATATTTTATTATTAAGAATAATTTTTAATAATTTTTAGTAGATATATGGTCAATTGGTTGTATTTTTGCTGAATTAATTTCTGGTAAAATTCTCTTTACTGGAATAACTTTATCTAGTCAATGGAAGCAATTTATTGAATTACTTGGAAGTTCTCCTTCAGATTTGGAATTTATTAAAACACTAAATCTTAAAAAAACACAACGAACAGTTATTGATAATATTGAAGAACGTCCTCCAATTGATTGGGAACGTTTTATTCCCGATGGAGCCATTCCTAAATTAATTAGTGAATTTCTTACAAGTAAGATTGGAAAATATATTTTTTGTCTATTGTTTCAAATACGCATTTTTAATACACCTATAGTTAATGTCTCAGGAATTTGAATATTAATAAGCTGACAAAAAATTTTTATCAGCTTTACAAATTATTTAGCAACAATACAAAATCAACCACTTAAAGTGCATTCGAAAAAGATATTACCACCCAAATTCTCATTATCGTGTTATTTAATTTTTTTATTAAGTTTGATATAAAATAAAATTATGAGACATTCATAAAATTCCCAATTCCCAAGGATAGGATCAGTCCTTTGAAATTTCAATTCTTCTTATAAATATCTAAAAAATAATAAAAATAGTTGGAAATGTTCGACAGCTTCTTTCCTCAATGCTTGTATTAGATCCATTTAAACGGACAGATGCAAATAATGCTCTTTCTAATCATTATTTTGATATTTATCGTGGTTACTTAAGTGCTAATTTACTTGCTAAACCTGAAAAGATTTATGATTTTCAAGCAGAAATTAAAACATTACAAACAAATGGAAATAATTTAGATAAATGGAAAGGTTTTTAGTATTTAAATATTTAATTATATTTTTTTTAATTTTTAAAGAAATTGTTCTCACAAAAGTTAATGCATTCAAAAAGTCTTGTTTACCTCATTAAAATTATTTTAACTTTTTTTTTTAATTTCATTGACATATTATATTTTTTAATAAATATTTTTTAAATTGTACATATAATCAAAAATATGTATACAATAATTACTAAAATATTATTTTTAATATTTTAAATTTTTATTCTAAATGTTTTAATTTTAATCAATTGATTAACTTTTTCTAAATAAACCTTCAATTAAATATTCCTAGACAAAATAAGTCTTCTTTGTCGTAACAATTAGAGACCGGACTGGGAGTGTCGTGCTAGAATCGAGATCTTGAAAATTACTCAATCTTAATAACCGAGATTTTCGATCGAGATCTTGACTCGGTCCTGTCTCTAGTAACAATAAAAAACATCTTTTATGTAGTACATCTTATCAAGCCAAGTATGGGTTTATGAATTTGACTCTTCCGTTTTTAGTATGTTCATTTCCGCACAACACTCTTTAACATCTCCGCATTTATTCAAAATTTTAATTTAAAATAAATTTTACTATTTTATTTTGCACTTTTGCCAATAAATAAATTTTACATTGATTAATTTTATAAATAAATTATTTAGAAAAACATAATCAGCCTTTCCTCTCTCTTTTTTTATATTAAGAAATTTATTGACTAATAAATTAAAATAAAAATTCTTTAAATAAAATTTAATTTTTATTTTTTCATATTTAATAATTTTCCTTTCTATTTTAAGTAAATCACGCTAATTCGGCCATTAATCCGTCAGAAGAAATTCATTTGGATGGTCGTAGTTAAAGCTGTTCTAGGGAAACTCTCAATCACAATTTTTTCCTCTTATACGTTACTGAAGTTGACACAAGCAAAATCAAACTCGTGATAGGATTACCTAAATCCCGGATCCTAGTATGATATGATTACATCGAACATAATATGTCATTGGCATCCTGGATTCGATGATGTCGACTTAAGTTAGAACTCGTGGTGTACATAGATTATTTAAGTTAAAAATAATTTACATTCTAATAAATTTGAGTAAATAAATGAGAACAATAAATGCCTCCCCCCCCCCCCCCCCAATTAAGCTGCGAAGAATAATTATTTTTTAAATAAAAATTAAAGGTTAAAAAGCTATGGCATTAATTATTTTCGCCTTTTATTTGAATTTGTTTAATCTTTATTTAAAAGTCGTTTTTCTTCCACCTCAGCCACATTTCAATGAACCTCTTGGTAATTATTCTTCTGATATTGAACATTATTCAATGAATGGAGTTGAGTTGACAAATATTTTACCTCATATGAAAGGTAAGTTTAATAAAAGGTACCGGGGTTGAACCATGGCTGAACCTCCTCTTTGGCCAAGTGAAAATTTTAAGAATAAAGAAAGGCTATGCCAGATTTCTTTCTTTTCAGTAAACAAAATTTTGAATATTGTAAAAGCAGCTAATCAAATTTTTTATCCGCGGCTTATGGGTATTTGCGTTTTTTGATTTAATTTCGTAAAAGTAAGGCAAAACGCAACACAAGACCACAATTTAACACAAGTAAAAAGTGAAATTAGCTCGCGATCCCAACTCAAAAACGGTGACACTATATGTAACTAAACTTTATATTTATTTACACAGATAACCTTCGTAATTATTTGTTCAATAATGCGAATATTGCTTTAATTAAGGCAACAAATATACTTCGTATTTTCCGTACTAACTTTTACGAAGAACATTTTGGTGCGCCCAATCGAAGTATTAAATTATTTTATTTAAATAATAATTAATTTAATTTTATTTGAAATAACAATTCAATTCTACGAACCAAATGAAAATGTAGAGCATATTGTAACTAATGCAGATGCTTCAAATCACTATCATCATCATGGTTATGGTAATGGGCATGCAAATGGTGGACATATACCAAATTATTTTACACAAGAAATTACTCATTTTGGATATGGGGCAAACAAATATATTTACAAAGTAAAATGGCAACATCGTCAAACTTTAAAAAACATTGAATATATTGAAAAGTTTAAATATAATCAAGAAGGGAAATTTGTTCATTTTACTCAAAATATCAGACTCGAAACAAATGATGGTGCTATTTTGGTAGTTTATCAAAGTCGGATACAACATTTTAATATTGACAATTAAAAGATGACTATATCTTAAACAATTCAACAAAATTGTCGGAGTTTTGATAAATTTGTAAATATTTTACTATCGAGAGAAAAATATTCATAATATCCGAGATATGTCCAACATTTATATGATAAAGCTTTCTTTTTATTTTAAAATATGTACATTAAGAAATATTTGTAATATATACCGAAATACTTTTCCATTTATCACCTCCACATAAGTCAAAGCTAAAGCTGTTTATTTTTTAATTAAATTTTTTATATGTCGTTTATTTTTCTATAAATTAGAAAAACAGCTAAAAAATGATGAATAATGAATAACACTATAAAATTATTAATTTTATTTAACCATCAGAAATGATGTCCAAAAATAATTTTTTTTATCAAATACACAAATATCTCTAAATGATTTTTTAAATTAATATTATTAATTGTGAATTATGTAGAGAGATTTTTCAAATAGAACATTTACTTTCGATAATTAAACTTTAAATTAATTTCATCCCTGATAAAAACTGTTCTTACTGTTTTAGCTAATCTTCAAATAAATTTTTAAAATTATTAAAAAAAATTTTTTTTAAGGAATGTTTTGCTATTTTTATTTATTTTATTTTTTTATTTTTATTATTTTTAATAAAACGGTGCAACAAGAAACAAATCAAAAGAATGATGAAGAAATGGAATGTATGAATGAGATTAATGAAAAGGAAATAAACGAGAATGAAGCGTAAATCTTTATTTTTAAATTTTTCATTTAAATTTACATATAGCCTTAATTTATAGTGATATTACAATTAAATATAATGTCAAATTCGGATTTATTTAAAAAATATTTTAACTAATATTAATATCATACCCGAAAGCCGAAACCCGGTCTTCTTTTTGACCCGAAACCCGATCCGAAGAAAATTTTTAAAACCCGATCCGAAATCCGATCCAAGAATTTTTCTTTTCAAAACCCGATCCGAAATTTGACCCGACTTTTTCCTCAACCCGGCCCATCCTTGGTGTAGTGTATAAGGGAGTGTACTGTCGCGAAATGCGACTTTTTTATTTTATTTTTTGACCCTTTTGTCCCTTGTCCTTTTTGTTGAAAATATTTTTATTTTTTTATTTCTATTTTTGAACATGCGTAATCAAATACGCCTACTTCTTCCAAATTCTTTCCCATTATTCATTGCACTTTGTAAACTTTTTGTTATTTTTATGTGAAATCCCTCCCATTTTTCCTCTATTTAAGCGTTAGGATTTTAGGGAATTATCAGAGTTTTGTGTAATTCTCTAGTTTAGAAAATGTTAATTGTATAAGAGTTTTATAGATTCTCTCAGAGTTAAGTTTTTTGTAAAGTTTTTTGTATTTGTAATTGTTTGAATAAAATTGTTAACTTATAAAGTTTCTCTTAGTTTTAATTGTTCTTTAAATAAATAAATTGTAAAGTCAATTGTATAATTAAATTGGAAAAGTTCTTCCTTTGTTTTATAAATTTAAAGTTTAAAATTTTAATTTTAAATAAAGTTTTTATTCTTTTAAAATTAATTCTTTAACTTTAAATAATTGTTGGGAAAAGAAATCTTTTCCAACAAGTGGTGCCGCTACATTTGAACGAACCTGTTAGAAAGTTAAAATTGATTGTGAAGAGAATTAATTTGTTCTTGAAAAAGTTAAAGAGAAATTGATTTAAAGATTAAGTTATATTTAAAAGTTTGAAGTTAGAAGTTTAAAGTTAAAAAGCTATTTAAATTTTGAAGTTTAAAGTTAAAAATCTATTTGAAATTAAAGTTGAAAAGTTTAAATTAAAAATTGAAAATGTCCGGTCCATACAAAAGAATGATCGGAACTGTTTTACAACGTTTGAGAGTTAGAATTGAAAATGCAGAAAGTATTATAGTAAAAGATGAAATTGATGATGAAGAAAAAGAATCACTTTTGAATGACGGAAAAAGTATTCGAAAAATTTTAAAAACTTTAGATGAAAAAAACCAACTTTGGTTAGATTTCCTAAAAGTTTTAGATCCAGATGATAGAATAGAAGAAACTGAAGCTTATGAAAATTATACATTTGAAAATAAACATTTCTATGAATGGATCGAAAAAGGAAGAGAAATTGTTGATACAATTGACGAACTAATTATTCAAAAGAATTCAGATATCTCTGAAAATGCTTCTCTAGTAACACAGTTAAACAAAGTTGTACCAAGAGAATTAACTGTTCAATTGCCTAGACTTGAATTGCCTGAATTTCATGGAGATCCGCATTATTGGATTTCATTTTGGCAAAGTTTTGAATGTACAATTGATAAGCAGAATTTTAGTAAAATAGATAAAATGAAATTTTTGCTTAATTGTTTAAAAGGAGAAGCAAAAGATGCTATCTCAGATTTAATGTTAACAAACGAAAATTACGAAATTGCAGTTAAAATATTAAAGGAAAGATTTGGTGATAAAAATATTCTGATTGAAGCTTTAGAATCTGAATTATTTCAATTGCCCGTTTGTACAGAAAAAGCAATTTCATTGAAAAATACAGTCGGTAAAATTGAAAAAATATTTCGACAATTAGAAAGTTTAGGAGAAAATACAAATAATTCGATTATGGCTTCGTTAATTAAGTCAAAGCTTAATAAAAGTATTTTAATGGAAATTGCTAAAGAAGAAAAAGCTTCAAGTAAAAAATATAATACTAATGAATTAAGAAAAGCTCTAGTTGGTATGGTTAATATAAGAGAATCAGTTTACCAATCGAGTAAACACTTTAATGTCTTACAAACTGATAGTCAGTCAAGTCTAAGAGGGGAAAAGTTTCGAAAAAATGAAGAATCTAGTAAAAATGGAGATAATGAAAAAATTGACGTAATTAATCAGACTAGATCTTTTCCCGTGACTATAAATAGAAGAAATATTATTTGTTATTTTTGTAATGGAAATCATTGGTCCAATACTTGTAAAAATGTTGCAGGCTTGGAGGAACGCAAGAAGCGTTTATTTGAACAGCGAAGATGTTTTCGTTGTTGTGCTAGAGGTCATATCTCGAGAAAATGTTTTAGTAAAAAATATTGTTTCTTTTGTAAAGGACCTCATAATACTGCCATTTGTCATAAAAGGACCAAGTGTTTTTTAACCTACGGACCTCGAAATGAAAAAATAAATAATAAAAACCGAAAATCCCAAAGTTGTAAAAAGAAAAGCTCAGATTGTAAATCTGTAAGTAAAAGGGTTGAAAAACCTAAAATTGAAAATAAAGTTTTGGAAACGCAGAATTTGTCAGTAAATACATGTACTTCGTTATTAAATAATTCATCGCCGAATTTAATGATTTTGAAAACTAAAGTTTTTTCACCGAGGAATGAAAATAAGAAAATTAGTGTTTCCATATTTCTGGATACTGGAAGTGAAGTTAATTATATTACTGACGAATTAGTTAAGAAATTAAATTTAGTAAAACAAGGAGAAGGTGTTCTTGAAATATCTACGTTTCAAGGAAATAAATCCAAGAAACAACTTACTGGAAGATATTCAATTGGAATTGAAAGAAAAGATAGAAAAAGAGAAATTATTGAGATATTAAGTGTTGATAAAATTTCTAACGAATTACAATCTGTCAGTATGAATGGAAATAATTCTAATGTAAAAATTAATGAGACGAGAAATAATTTAACTACTAATTGTGCAAAACCAGACTTGTTGATAGGAATAAAAGATTTTTGGAGATTTTTTAATGGAAAAACAGAGGTTTCAAAAGGATGTTATTTGATAAAGACAACTATCGGAAATGTTCTCTGTGGTGAAAATCAGAGGAAATTGAAAAGGTCAATGCAAGTCCAAACTCATATAGTTGCTCACTCTTTCGAAGTGATGTCGAATAAATTTGATGTTAAATCCTGCCGAGATTTGCAAAATGTTAACATAGAAGAAAAAGATAAAATTATTCAGAAAGTAATTCCGCCAGTAAAAGAAATTATTTCAAGTAGCAAACATTGTGCTAAAACAAAGATTGGAAATAAATTAAAACAGAAATTACAGAGATTTAATAGAAGTAAAGAAATTAATAAAGAATTAACGAAATGTTTATCAACTATAGATAAAATATTATTTGTAATTCGTGCGATTTTAATAATGTTCTGTTTGAATAATTTAAATTGTCAATTAAAATGTTTAAGAGAAACCATGTATTTAAAAGAAAAATTAAATTTTCAAACTATTGAATTTGCTAATAGTAGAGTTGTAATAATTCTGAATTGTGAAAGAAGTAGACTAGAAATACCTGAATTAAATTTGAATTTAGTAAAATATAAAGATAAATTGAAAAAGTTTGATAATTTAAAATTTGAGAAGGATATACAAGATAAAAGTTTAAAACAAAGCGATAAATTGTTTAAAAAATGGATAAAGAGTATATCTTTAAAGAATAAAGTGAAACAAAAAGAAGGATGCTTATGTTTAACAAAACTTGTGTTGGTTCATGAATTCTTGCTGCTTATGCTACAAAGAGGCTGTGCAAAATGGACGCTTCAACTCAAAGATGTCCAGTGCTGAATTTGAAAGAACAAGAAGAAGGGACTTAAAATGATGAAGAGGATGTTTCAAAGAAAATTAATTTTAATCCTTTCATCTATTTTATTTTGTTTTTCTCGCGCTCCCGAGTGTCGCGAAATGCGACTTGTATATTCTAATTTTTTACCCTTTTGTCCCTTGTCCTTTTTGTTGAAAATATTTTTATTTTTAAATTCTATTTTTAATCATGCGTAATCGAATACGCCTACTTCTTTCTCATTATTCATTGCACTTTGTAAATTTTTGTTATTTTTATGCTAAAATCCCTCCCACTTTTTCTCTATTTAAACGTTAGGATTTTAGGAAATAATCAGAGTTCTTTGTAATTCTCAAGTTTAGAAATTGTTTTAGGTAAAGAGTTTAATTTGTAAATTCTCAGAATAAAGAATTTGTAAGATTCTCTCGAGCTTTTCTAATTGTAATAAAAATTGTTTGAATAAAAGTTGTGTAACTTTTAGACTTTTATTGTTTAAAATAAAGAGTTGAACTTAGAGCTTAAAGAATTTGAGTTAAGTCTTCTAAGTTTAGAGTTCTTTGAATTAGAGTTTATTGTATTTCAACATGAGTTAAATTTGAGTTTTCTAGAGATTTCTAGAATTCAATTTATAAGGTTTAGATTGTGTAAAATTGATTTAAATAAATAAAGTTTATTGTTTGTGAAACATTTTAAATAGAGTTTTGAGTTAAGATATCTTCTCCTAAAGAGTTCTTTAATTTGATAAAGTTTCTTGTTTGTGAAACTAATTTGTTTACTCGAAAAGAACTCTCATTATTTAGCAAAATATTAAATATTTGTATTAATATTTTTTTATTTTGCGACATGTACTCGTGTTGGAGAGCGTGGTTTTGAAATTTAATTTAAACCTCAAATATCAATTAACTTTAATTAAAATTTTAAAGAATTCATTTAACAAACATGTGCAATGGTCATTATAAAGCAGATTATTTAATATCTGATCAATGCTTAACTAGACCAGAACATAAACATGTAGAGTCATATAGTTTACATTTTTATAATAAAAAAGGATTTGCTTGTGACAAAAATGGGTAAAAATATTTTTTTAATTTATTTAAATAATTTAAAATAAAAGTTTAATTATTTGTTTCCCGAGTCAATTGGACGGGAAAAATAGACAAAATGGAATTCATTCAACAATTCAATATCGTATATTAAATTCCCCTAATGTAAATGCTAAAATTATTTTTAATAAATATAAATTTATTTTTTTAAGAATATAATTGCCTCAAAATGCGAAACTCATCGAAAAAGATTTTGCCAAAACGAAAAGAAAATTAAAAATAAATTAAATTTGTGTAAAGAAGGAGGACCTGCTGATTCACCTTGGCATGGAATTCAAATTAAAACTGACGAAACAAATAATAATTCAATTATTTTAAGTTTGTCTGTAACTAATAAAATGTATCTAAAATAAATAAATAAAATATATTTATATATTTCATTCAAAGTTATCAACTTGGCAAAATTGAGGAATTTCTTATTGAATTTGGACGAGAAAAAAATGTTTTTTCAAAAATAGTTACTATTTCTGGAGAAGGTGAATTAATTGAAAATTAACTTAAAATTTTAAATACTTGTTAAAGCAATTTTTTATAATTTATTCTTGATTTACCTAATTTAAAATATTAATTTTAAGAAAATAAAAAAGTTATTGAAGCTGATGAATCACTTCAGAAAGAATTTCTCAAAAAAGCAAATTTGGGTTCCTATCTGCTTAATTATGCTGGAATATGGACTTTAGGCATTGATTTACTTCCAACAATTGCCAAACAAAATATACATTTATTTGTTTATAGAGGATGCTATTGTTCTATGAAAGCATGGGTTGATTATAATATTTAACAAAATAATCTTTAGTAACAAATAAATTTCGAAGATTAGACTTTTGTGATAAAAATTAACGATAAGTTTGGTCAAACATTTAAATTGAAAAATAAGTCTAATGAGTAAAATTCTCTCGGGGATATCTTCTTTATTTATAATATTTATTTTCTAAATATGCACAATTTATTAAGTTTCGAAGACCATACAGAAATATTCCTCAACATACTTCCCGCATCGATACAGGCAGTAATCAATGCCGATCCAAACATATATCCAAAACGATTACTCCATTGAAAGGATTTAAGGCAAAGAAAAGTATTGTGATTAAACTAACAACAGATAAATATTCACGAAAAGCTGAATTTGCATTACAAGCCAAAGATGGCTCCAATCTTGTGGATATTTATATTACTAATAAAACAATATTATTTGGTCCTGGAGATGTAAGAATTTATTAGATTGGATTATTAGATTGGAGCATTTATTAGATAAGAATAAATAATATTCCTCCAATTAATAACGAAGTTCCTCCAATTAATAACGAAAAGATGAAACGATCAGTCGGCGATCACATCGCTGAGCGAATAGCAACCTTCATCAGAGAGCTTTCAGAATCAAGTCCCATTAAATCTTTACTTATTCCAGGGATGGGTTCGATGCTTTATTTAGTTTATTATTGCATATTTATTGTATTTTTTGTAGGCTGAAGGTCATTGGTATCCATCTAAGGTGAAATTATCAGATTCACAAGAAATATTAGAAGCTGGAAAAGAAATTAAAATTACAATTCAAGCATTTGTTTATCACATTGTTATATTAATTAGTGGATTTCCTAAAATGGTCAGCACATTTTGGCCTTTCTTTTGGTGGAAACAAATGCCTTATATGGCTGTTAGTAATGTATTAATGACTGGAGATTTTGCTCTTTTACGATCAGTTGAAATGATTGATTTTGATGTTAAATGATTAAATTTTAATTCTACTTTTAAATTTAAGGATGTTGAACATGTCCCTTGCCCATTTTCACTACATCTTGATAAAGTAATAAAAAATAAAACTCGAATAGCTTTTCGTGGAATTGTCCATGAAGATGCCAAAAGTATTTCCTTCAATTTTTTGCATGATGCACCTAAATGGCATAAATATTGTAATTTAATCATATTATTTTTAATTAATGGAGAGTTAATTTGAAAAAATTATTAAGTACACAAGGGTCATAGAATTGAAATGTCTCGCTGAGCCATCTTTTTTGTTGATTTGTTCTAAACTGCGTCTAATATTTCAAGCCTAAAATTTCTGTACTGCTATGGACTATGTTTAGTTTAATTCTTTTATTAGCTAGCTTTATTATCATCAAAAGATAATAGATATTTTGAGCTTACAAGATTGCCTATTAAAATAATAATAAATTTTGTAAAGCATATAGCTATTAATTTCCTAAGGCTGTGCAGTAGGCGGCGTGGTGTAATGGCTAACACATCAGTCCGGTCTACTGAAGATGCTGGTTCGCTCCCAGCCGCCGAATAACCTTTTGCTCTAGCTAAAGGAGAGAAATAGCTATAGCCCAGCTGCTTTACTGCTTTACTATTTAGTGGGTGCTACTGTGATGCATCTAACTGTTAATTTCACTCGCAATTCAACAAGCTGGTGGTCCTTTTATGTAAATAAATTAAATAAATAATTTCTAAATTAAAATTATTTACATATTAGGGAAGACGAGTACAAACTAACGATACAATACCTGAAATTATTGGCTTTCAAAGAGGAAAACCTTTCGAGTTTATTATTGTTGTAACAGACCATTCGTCAGAAGAAATGGGTATAGTTGTAAAATACTCTGCTTTTATAAATGGTGAATTTATTGGAGGAGTTGAGGGTGATCTTCCAATATGGACTATAAATTGGATTAGGGTATAATTTAATTTTAAATGTTAAAGTTAATTTTTTGAGAATAATAAATATACATATATGGACATAATAATGTATAGGTACTTTACATGCTTAAATGATATTTTCTGGTACCCAATCCTTCCATATATTCAATATAAAATGAGAATTATAAAAAACGAAACAAAATATTAATTAATTTTAATTTTTAAGGTAACTGGTCAAATGACTCTTCTTCAGGAACCAGTCGTCGATTTCTATTTATGTGTAAATATGTGGAAATAATTTTTACATATTATTTTCTAATTAAAATATTTTTTTTAATTTTCTTATTTTAATATTGTTATTTATTATTTTAGGGAGAAATGGAACATTTTTACAAATTCCAATTAAAGCATTTGCCTTATTATGGATCGAGGTATTGCTTAGAAGCTACAGTGCCACCTTATAATGAACTGTCAGAAAGAAAAGGATTTGAAATTAATTTCTTTCACGAATCGACAGAATTTGATGAAAACAGTTAATTTCCATTTAATTTCCAAAAAGAAAAATTTTTTCAGTTGGAGATACTGTTCTCCGAATGAATTTTGTTTTTGATATTAAAAATGCTTCGAATGATTTACTTTTTCTTGATAGTTATCAACACAGCAAAAATTCTTGGGATGAACTCGAAATTCATCCGAACCCTATTGGACGCTCTGGAGTGACATTTGACATTCGAATTTATGCAACTTCAGTTCAATTTCAAATCAGCATAAATAACGGAATTGATTTAATTAATTACAGATATAGATTACCTCCATGGGCCACGAATTATATAACGGTGTGTTTTTATATTTGGAGAAGGATTAGAAAATATATTTGAGTTCCGCTTCAGAATTTAGATTTTATCTGGATATAAGCAGTGGTTTAAATTTTAAAAATTCTAATTTTCCAGCCCTAGGTTTCGTTCAATAATAATCTTCCAAAAATAAAATTTTTACAAAGAAAAATCACCAATAAAATTTTACAAAATTTTTTAGGTTAGTGGAGATATAAAGGGTGTATTATTTGGTAACAAATCAAGTAGATGCAAAGCTTATTATGAAAAGGAAAAAAATACAGAAAAAGCAGAAATCCCTTTCCCGACAGATATTTACCAAGTTGATACAAATAATCCATTAAAAAACGGCGATTTAATTAGCATACAAGGAATTGTTAAATTACCAAAAAAATTTGATGAGAATGCTGTAAATATTTGTATAAGTTTTTATCATGAAGCTCTAGAATGGCATCCTTCTGGTAAAAAAATGTTTAAAGTTGTTTTAAATAAATAAATATTTAGTTGGACAAACAGTCTTTCAAGCTAATTTCTCTGTAAATTATGTTACATTCAATACTTATATGGTATTTAATAAAAAATATTTTTTAAATATTTTTTAAATTAAATTTAAAGGAGGGTTGGAAATTTAACAAAACAGAAGAACCAATTTACAAACTTCGTAGTCCTTTGGCAATAGGGCAACTATTTGATTTAGAAATATTTATTAATCAAAAAGAATTTAAAATTCATTATGGAATAATGCAAAAAATGAATTATACACAACAATTACCCTCTTGGACTATTCAATATATTAAAGTAATTATTTTAAATTAAATAATAATGAAGTAATTTGTAGGTTGATAGTGAGGCTTTATCACTTCCACCTAGAGGGCATTATGTTAAAATCGAAAGAATGATGGAAGATTAATTGTTAAAAATATAAATATTTTATCTTATTTACCCTATATTTATTTTATAAAATAAAGGTTAAAAGCCATCTGATAAATTACATTAATATTAAAAATTAATTTTTATTTAAATATAAATAAAAATAAATAATTAAATTTTTTATAATAATAATAATAATTAAATTTAACAATATACAAATTAAAAATTAAATATTTCTTCCATTTATTAAAACCCAATTATTTAAAGTATATTCCAAATTAGCATCAATTCTAATTTGTTCGTCTTTAGGTAATATAGTTAATTGACTTCCATTAGCAAGTTTAATATCTTCAATGCTTGGTAAAGGAATTCCAATATTAAAAGAAGATTTGAAAATAACTTCAAGTATTGGGATACAAACAAGTGAAAATTTGTGAAGAAATCTTTAAAATAATTAAAAAGTAATCTCTCATCTTCCCTCTCTCTCTCCATAAATAAATGGGTGTTGGATGAACTTCTTCAAGGACTTACCAAATAGGCCCTTGAAGATTTATTAATCTGATTTATCACATAAAAATTCCAAATAATCTCGACACTTTTTCGATGAGTTATGTCGAAAAACATGATGTTCTGTCTTTTTGTTACACAATGAAATATAGAACTAACTAGTATACAATTCTTATGTCAAATCAAGGAAATTAATTTAAATTCACTTTATATTTAATTTTAAATTTTATTTGAACAAAACTTACTGTTCAGAAAAGTTTCCAATTGTACTGTTTACTTCAGAAAATTTAACCTAAAAATTTTAAAACTTTTTGTATTTATTTATTTTTTATTTACTTGTAAATTAATTAAATTCCCTTTTAATCGTGTATTTTCAAAAAATGGTTCAATAATTGCTGTTGAATTTGCTGCCAGCCTAGCTAAAACCTAAAATATATTTTAAATATGGTTGAACTTTTTTTGACGCCTTGGGACTGAGTAGAGTTCACGAATGATGGAATTACTTTTTTTTCGTTCTGGCTTGATTTTTTGTTTTTTGGCGTTTAAAATTAGAAATTTCCGTTTGACGTTTTACACGCAAAGTAAAGTTTTCTCGTAAATCCCTGGAGAGGATGTTGTAATAAGACTTTTTTTAAATTTAAATATATTTTATACATTTTTATTATCTTGCCAAGGCGAAATAAGTAAATCAACAAAAAATTCAGCTTCCAATAAAATATTATTTTCATTATGTTCTGTTGAAGAAATAAATTTTAAAATTGGAGGAATCATTGAATGGAAATGAAAGTCTATATGTTTGTCTGGATATTCACGTGCTAATATTGGGAAGAAAGTGCCCAGACAGATTTGATAAATATGACAACTGAAAAAAATAATTTTTAAAGAAAAATATTTTTTAAAAGTCTATATTTACTTAATGACGTGGGATTTGGAAATAAAATTTTTGAGAAAAATTTCTATTAGAGTAAGTATAGATTGATAAAAAAGTTATACAGAGGAATTTAATTTTACAGAAAAAAGCTGATAATTATCCAAAAATGATAGTTTGAATTAATACCTAGTTTGAAGAAATCTCTTTAATCTCCCACTCGCAAAGTTTGGGCCAATTGTAATTTGAAGAATGCCTGATTTATGTAATGACCAAAGCAAACAATTAGGAATACTACTATGAATCCAAATCTTTAAATATTTTGAAATAAAATTTCTTTATAAATTTTACAGATGCCATCCATTTAATTCCCGATTCTTTAACTGACATTTCTGTTGAAGGCCCAAACGGACAAATTTCAGAATTGTTTTGTGCTAAAACATCAGTAAATAATTTGGATTCAATAAATGTGCTGAAAAATGGTTGGATAATTTTTGTTAGGTCGTAAACTAAGTTTTGAGTACCCCCCCCCCTTGAATTAAGTAAATATTTATGATCCTAAGAGAGTTGCCTATTTTCTGGCAAAAAATCAGAATCATAGGAATAAGTTGACAGGAGTTAAATATAAAGATTGAACTTAACTAAAATATTTACTTGAGTTTATCATTTTAATTGTATTTGAGATTTTCTGAATAAAAATGAGAAACGAAAAAAAAAGGATAACGAAATACAAGTTATAATTTAAAATATAAATTTTTATTAAAAATATTTTTGCCTTGTAATTTGAGGATCATTATCAAAAGCATAATTCAAAAAAAGTAGATCACCCAAATCAAAAGTATTTGGAAGCGAAATAAGAAAATTATTTAATTGTCCAAGTATTGTTGAATGAACAATTTGGCAAAACTTTTTAAAAATAAAAATTAAAAAAAATTTTTTTAATTTAAAAACTTGATCGTGTAAAGCTTCTTTCAATGCATTACTTAAAGGAGTTTTAAATAAATTGATTAACCAAGGAATAAAGCCTCCACCTATTTCAATTTGTAGTTTATCTACTGTTTAAAATTATAAAAAATTAATTTTTAATTCAGATTTCTTGAAAAAATTTTTTTGTCTTTTTTCGTTTACTCATAGCTTCGTGAAAATTAGGGCTGGGGTTTTCGAGTCGGGCCGACGTTCGAGTCTTTTTTTCAGAATTGTTTTGTGCTAAAACATCAGTAAATAATTTGTTTTTTTCCTCATTTTTATCGGGCCGGCCCGACCGAGTCTTTTTCGAGCCAAAATTCGATGCCCGACTCTATCTTTCGGACCGGGCCGGATCGAGCTCCCAACCCTAGTGAAAATTAATTTTCTATTTTAGTTTTTGTTTTGTTTCGTGTCTTGATAAATTGCTTCGTAAACATCAAAATTCTATTTTATAAATTTCAATTAAAAATTTATTTCCTAAACGAAAATTAATGTCCTTATTTAATTGTCAAGTGCCAGCAACCGACAGACAAAAGGGCATGTCTGGGTGATGACTTTCTCGTGTTTTTTTAAATAATTACTTAATTTAAATGCCCTTTTTAATAAAAAATTATTTTTTTAATTGTCTAGTTAGACAGTCAGAAATTCTTAAAATTTGCACTTTTTAACTAAAAACAAAAATTACTTTAAAAATATTTCAATGGGAAAATAAAAAAGGAAAATTTAATGTCGGTGAAAAAAAAAGATAAAAGAGATAAAAATAAGAATTATGAAATTTTGTTTTTTAAATAAGCCGGTATTTAATTGGCTTTATTTATAAATAAAAAATAAATTTATTTACTACTAAAAATAAATAAATTTTTAATTTTAAAAATAAAACAACCCCAATTTTCTCTAAAAAAATGAATAATAATATTCAAATTTTAATTTTTATTTCCCTCCTTTTTACTTTTGTCTATTCTGTTGAATATAAAGGAACAATAAAGGAAAAATTTCCTCTTTCAACAAAAGCTTTAAAAGAAAATAATTATTCCAAAGATTTCACTTTACGTTTAAAATCTTCACGACCTGAATGCCCTATTAGCTTAATGGGGAAAATTATTGAAGATACTCATAAAAATTCTGAAGCTAAAAGAGAGGACACAATTTTAGCAAAAGATGTAAACAAAAATAAAGGAAAAAATGTAGAATTAACAATAACTTGTCATGGAATAAAAGTAAAATGTGAAATTAATGAAGAAAAATTATTTTCGGGAAATTTGTGTGAAATTGGTGTTATGTTATTTAGTAAAGAAGAAAAAAAAGTTTATTTTCATATAAATGATGTTGATGGATATGAATTGGATTATTCTGAAGGAATTGGAAGTTCCACTAGTGGTGGTAAACATTAAAAAAGAGAGGGAGAGGGGAATGTACATATAAGTAAATAAATATTCGAGAAAGAATTTTTTAAAAGAAATAAATTTTTTTATTAAATAAAATTATCCTTTTTTAATTTAAATATGTAAATTATTTAATATTTAATTTAATTTGAAAATAAATATTTAAATCTAACCATTTGCCGCATAACAACTAAAAACCTCAAATTGAGGTTTTTCCTTTTGGTGATTAATCCCTAATTCTAAGGCTGAAGTTATATTCTCAGCAACAACTTGTACCCACCCAGATGTTGAAAACTTTGGAAATATTTTTTAAATAAAAAAATTAATTAATTTAGTACTTTAATTCCCAATAACCAATAATAAGCACTCCAATATCCTCTTATTGGGAAAATTCCATTTTTTGATACAAATCTGATAGCTCTTGGAGGAGCTAATTGGAAACGGAATTTTGGTGAAACAAATAAAGAAGGCAATATATGTAAATCAGAAACGTTAACTTGTCCTCAAAATAAAATTATTTTTTAATCCGAAAAATAAATATTTTGTTTTTAAGTTAAATATTAGAGATCAAGGTGGACCTGGACCAAGGCCTGGGTTTTTCCTGTACCCAGAGTCAAGTCCAGGCATTTTTTGACCTTCCTGGATTTTTCCTGGGCCTGGGTTTTTTCCTGGACTACAGGTCCAGGATTCGGCGCAGGTCAAGAAATCAAAGTCCAGGAACAGTTCCAGGCTTTTCAAGAGTCTCGATCTCTATTAAATATAACACTTTAAAAAGATAATTTGAATTTTAGTATAAAGTTTTGCAACAGAATTTATTTACTAATAAAAATTACTTTTTAATCCAACATATTGCTGTAGGCGTGATAAAAATCAAAATTTTAAAATAAAAAAATACCTGATCCAGGTCCATCATCAATTGGAAGTAAAATATCGGGAAAATTAGTTTTAGGTAATTCTTTGTTGACCAATTTATGGCCAATTAAACCAAAAAAGTCAATCCCATATTTACTTAGCCTAGCAACAAAATTTGGATTTTGCTGAGATTGAGGAAGGGAGAGACATAAATTTATAGACAAAAATAAAATAAATAAAGTAAAATTTAATTTTTGAGGTCCTTTTAACATAAATAAATATTTTCTAAATTTTTATTTTTAAAGGAAATTTTAGTAAAAATAAAAAGAAGTATTGGGGAATACTCTAAACTAATTTAGAAATTAAATAAAAAATTAATTTTGTTAAAGAGTTTTATTTTATAAAAAATATTGTCAATATTTTAACAAAAATTATTTAAAACGTCATAATAATTTTTAAAAAAAAATGATTTTCTACAGTTAAAATAAAAAGAAAAACTTTCACATATTTTAGATAAGAAAAAACACAAATAAAAAGTATTATGAGAACAATTTCTGATAAGATAATTATTAATTACTCATAATAATCTAAAAAAAGTTAGAACAAAATAAAAAAACGGTTTTAAGAAATTTAAAAATTAAATAGCAAAATGTTATCTCCATTATTTTTAAATACCGGAAATTGTTTATATTGACAGAGATTCTGGTAATTAAATAAAAAAAGGATCTAAAAAACAGAAACAAAAGAGAAAATAATACTTTGAAAAATCTTAACAGTACTTTGAAATAATCACAGTCTTTTAGACTCAGCTCGAAAAATTAATGTGATTTCTAAGCCATTTTTAAAAAAATTTTTTTAATATAAATTATTAAAAAAATTTTTTTTAGTTTTATTTTTGAGTTGCTGGCAATTTTTTCAAAATAAATACATAATTAATTTAAATTATTACTCTCAAATTCTAAAATCTTTTTTTGCTACATATAATAATAATTATGGATAAAATTGATAAAAAAATCGTATAAACATAAACAAAAGAAATATTTAATAGCCACTTTATTAAAATTATTCTTTGTTGACATTTTTATAAAAAAATATATGTATTTTTCCCTATTGCTTAAGGAAAAGCTTTACTTTTTGGACGTATACTCGAGAATAGAAAAATAAAATAAAAAAATATTTTGTCGACAGACTTAATCCCTATTTTTATTTTCTCATTTCCTTTCTCTTCATTTGAAAAAAAAGAAAGTTATGTCTTTGGCTTTAGCCTTTAGCTATTTCAATTTTTATTACTTTATTTTCGTTTGTCAATAATTTTTTTAGTCGATATTTAAAATGTTTATTTTAATTATTAAACAATTTTTAATTATTTTTATTTTAATTATTTTATTATTTCCACCATCATTTTATTCAATTGTAACGAGAAAAAGAAAATTAATTTGGTTATTTAAAAGACCTTCTTTAATTAAAATTTTAATTTTTCTTTAAAGTAAGAGAACCCCTTTTAATCGAAAAACAACAAATTATAAAGCTTGGAGAGAGCAAATGACTATTTGTGAACTACTTGAAAATTATGACCCGGCAGTCCGTCCATTAGGTCAGATACCTAATGCCGAGAGACGTGGACCTGTTATTGTAACTACTTCTTTATTTGTTAATTCAATTAGTGCTGTTAGTGAAAGAAATATGGTTATTATTTTAAATATTATAATAACGAATATACAGTCGTGGAAAAAAGTATGGAAGCGCTAGAAAATTTTTTCTTAATTCTTAATTTTTCATTCAAAAATTACGTTCTATATACCAATCGAAAGCTCTATTCGTATCTCAGTTGACATGTTCCTGCATTCTTCATGAAAATGAAAATTGGCCGAGATAATCCGGATCTACCGGATATACCAAATCCCATTTTTTCGGAAAAATTTTTCGGAACAAATTTAACAAACTCAAATGATAAAGCATATTTTTGTGAGTATTTTCCACAAAACCGCTTAGAAATATCTTTTTCCGGGACGGAGATATGATTTTTTGAAAATCGCATTTTTCGTCAATTTTTGCAAAATTTTCAATTTTTAAGGGAAAAATGCGATTTTCAAAAAATCATATCTCCGTCCCGGAAAAAGATATTTCTAAGCGGTTTTGTGGAAAATACTCACAAAAATATACTTTATTATTTGGGTTTGTTAAATTTGTTCCGAAAAATTTTTCCGAAAAAGTGGGATTTGGTATATCCGGTAGATCCGGATTATCTCGGCCAATTTTCATTTTCATGAAAAATGCAGAAACATGTCAACTAAGATACGAATAGAGCTTTCGATTGGTATATAGAACGTATTTTTTGAATGAAAAATTAAGAATTAAGAAAAAATTTTCTAGCGCTTCCATACTTTTTTCCACGACTGTAATTACAAAAATTAGTTTATTCCTTCCTTCCTAATTTTTTGAGGAAATTCTTGTGTATTTTGTTAAATTTAAGTATCGCTAAACTACATATATCACAATAACACTCTCTAATAGAAATATCTAGCGAAAGAAGTAGAAAATGAAATTGGAAATGTCATTCAGTTTAATTTTTAAAAAATTAAATAATTTAATTTAATCTTTGTCCATAAAAATCTCGTATATTTAATCTCTTATGTATCTTTTATTCCAACATTATACAGTAGATAATTAAAATAATATTTAATTTTTTCTAGGAATATGTAGTACAATTTCGTTTTCAACAGCAATGGTTGGATGAACGTTTAGCTTTTAAAATAAGTGAGGCAGCTGATTTGCAACAAATTAATCTTGCTAGAGACCAGCCTATTTGGATTCCTGATAGGTTAAAATAAATAAATATTTAAATTATTTAAATTATATTAGTTTCTTTCAAAATGAACGTAGTGGACATTACCATATGTTAGATCAAGAAAATCGTTTCGTACAGGTTGATGTTGATGGACGTGTGACTTATAATAGAAGATTAACTTTGACATTAGCATGTAATATGAATTTACTTAGGTAAATAATTAGTGAAATTTTTCTTTTAATATTTATGTATTTCTCAATATTTCCTCAAAAATTAATTTTTAATATTTAGGTATCCAATGGACGTGCAACTGTGTTTGATAGACTTTGCCAGTTGTAAGTTTGTGAATTTATTCAAGTATTTAATTTTAAAAAATACTTAAACTTTATTTAGATGCCTATACAAAAAATGACATTATTTATCAATGGGACAATGTTGGTATAGAAATTTCTGATACAGCAAATGGAGCATTACCTAATTTTGAAATTGCTTCATTAGATAATGATACTTGTGATTCTGATACAAATACTGGTTTTTAATTTAAAATAAAAAAAATAAAATATTTTTGCAAGGATCATATTCGTGTTTACGTGTTCGTTTAACTTTGAGGAGAGTATTTTCATTCTTTTTACTTCAATTGTATATTCCTTCTGCTATGTTAGTTGGTAAGTGAAATTAGTATACTTGGAACAAAATAGTAGCCTTTCAGTGTCATTCCATATCGGATTTCAGATTTCGGGGTTTGGTAAACTAAAATATCCGCATACCTAATAATAATCAGGGTTCCAAATTTACAATCGGATATTTGGAACCCTAATTATAAACCAAATTTACGGTCAAATTTGCAGTCATTTTAACCATCCAACCACCCGCTCTTTTAACTCAAATTCAGAAAATGTGACGTAATACATAGTGTAATTTTTTCACCGTTCCCAGCATGGACGAAGGCACGGTGTCAGGGACGGTAGCTCTGTGGAGAGGGCCTCTCACCGTCCCCGGTGAACCACTTTCCCCGGGGACGGCGGTGGTGGAACCCTAATTATAATTTCTATTAATATCTTCAATATCTTTACCAGTGCTTCGAAGCTCGTACCAAAATTCGTACTCGTACCTCGTACTCGTACTCGTACCTGGTACGAAGTACGAGTACGAGTACTCGTACTCGTACCTGGTACGAAGTACGAGTACGAGTACGAGCAAAAAAATTGGGCAGGTACGAAGTATGAGTACGAGTACGAGGCCAAAAAAAAGTGAAAAGTACGAGTACGAGGCCTAAGTACGAGCTCGTACTTCTCGTACTTGGTGTTAATAGGAAAATTGAAGTTAATAGGAAAATTTCTCTTCATAAATAACTTATTTATAAATTTAATTTTTTTTTAAATTATTGTATTTTTACTTGGATTAATTATGAGATTTTGACCATCTAAAATTCTTAATATTTTTTTCTTTGCACACTAAAAGTGAATTTTTTTCGCCTACGGCCTTCGGAAATTTTCAAAATTTTCGCCTGCGGCGCTGAAAAAATAAGAAAGGTGGCTTATTGGCTTCCAAATTCTAGAATTTTCACCTACGGCGGTGAAAAATGAAAGAAATCTGGCTTCATGGCCTTCAAAATTTTTCAAAATTTTCGCCTGCGGCGCAAAAATAGAAGAAATCTGACTTAGGGACATCCAAAATTCTCAAAATTTTTGAAAAAAAGGATTTGAGATTAAGAGGAATATAAGGAGATTAAAATGTGAAAAGTTCAGTGGAAAAGATAAAAAGTTCCATGTAAGAAGATGAAAACCGGATGAAAAAATGTAGGATCTCGGGTAGCACGACTCATCTTGGAGGAAATATTTCTCCTTGCACTCTAAAATGCTCAAAAATTTCGCCTGCGGCGCAGCAAATGGATGAAATTGGAGGATTTATAACTTCAAGGCCTTCCAAGATTCAAATATTATCAATACAACGCTTAAAATTTAAAACTAGATGCCCTGGGCTCCAAAAAATCATAAAAATTTTCGATTTTTTGCTTTTTTCTCAAGTACGAGTAAGTACGAGGTACGAGTACGAGGTACGAGGCCAAAAATAGGGGTGGTACGAGGTACGAGTACGAGTACGAGCAAAAAAATGGGGGTGGTACGAGGTACGAGTACGAGTACGAGGCCAAAAAAAGAGGTGGTACGAAGTACGAGTACGAGTACGAGCAAATTTGAAATTTCGAAGCACTGATCTTTACGTGTATAATTATTCTCACATTAATTCTTTTAGAAAATTATCCCTTTATTATTCGCCTTTTTTAGGTGTTTCTTGGGTCTCTTATTGGATTGACTGGAAATCCACAGCTGCACGAGTACCTCTAGCTATAGTTACTTTACTAACAATGATTACTCAATCACATGCAATTAATTCCAATTTACCTCCCGTTTCATATGCAAAATCTATTGATATTTGGATTGGTGGTTGTGTTGTAAGCTTTTTTCCTTTAAAAAATATTTTTATAATTTTTCTAAAAAAAGGTATTTATTTTTGCTTCATTAATTGAATATGCAATTGTTAATTATATGGGAATACTTGAAGAACATAAACAAATGCGTAAAATAACAATGAACAGAACAAGATTAAGTAATGTATTGGGGGATCAAGTTATTCCGAATTTTGATGAACAGCCAATTAAAAATTTAAATTTTCCCAACGAGAAAAGAGTAAATTCTTTGAATATTTTTTTGGAAAATAATTATTTATTTTTTAGAGTTTATTAAGAAAACAAAGAAAAATGCAAGTCGATTTACGTTTTGAAGACCAGGAGGATGAACAAACAATGGAATTAAGTAATGTAAATAATAATGCTAGTCAAGAACATAAAGAATTATTTCAAAATGTGGAGCCTGGATGGACTATGCAGGTAAAAGTACATAGTAAAGCAGAGCTGAGGTATAGCTATTTCTCTCCTTTAGCAGCTAGTGCAAAGGGTTATTCTGCGGCTGGGATTGAACAAGCATTTTCAGTAGACCGGGCTTATGTGTTATCCATTACCGCTATGTTATGGATAACATAGTATTATAATAATTATAATATTATTATAACATAACATTACAATATTATCCATTATCCATTACAGCCTTAGGAAATAAATAGCTATATGCTTTACAATATCTTATTTAGATAAACTTTAATAAAAAATAAATTTTTTTAAGGATGTTACCGATTTAGTTTATTTAGGTCAAAGAAAAAGAGTTGAGGTAAATTTTTATTTTAATTGAAAAATAAATAATTCTCTTTAAAGTTAGTTCGTTGGTGTTCCCTTCTAAATGAACGAGGCCGGGCTGAACGGATAGATATTATTGCAAGAATTTTATTTCCCTTGGCTTTTGCACTTTTTAATGGTGTTTATTGGAAAGTTAGAATTATTTTAATTATTTTTTAAAATAAATATTTAAATTTTTAAGGTTTATTTAAATGATGTTTATGATCAACATGAAATCATCTAATAAATAATATCTTTTTTATTTTTAATATGTATGTATTTAATATAAACATATTATTTTTTTCTTGTTTTTCTTCATAAAAATAATTTAATAAAAAGAAAATATTTTTTCTCTCGTCATTAATTTAATTTCTTCAATTGCTGCTCCTATAAAGTAATTTGCTCGGTGGACGTGCAGAATTAATTGCAGGGGGCAAACTTGGCCCAACTTTAATCAAAGTCCTTCTATACGGAGCTACAGTAATTATTGTGGCTAAGGGATTTAAAACTGGAATCCAATTAATTATAGGACCCATAAGCATTGTTAGACAAATAAACCAGTCACTTGTAGCATCAACAATAGATGCAAAAGTGACAAACATAAAAACGAGAATGTCGAGAACAGGAATTGATGCCTAGTGAAAATAAAAAGATTAATTTTTTAAAATTATTTTTTGTGGTTAAATAGATTCGGACCTCATTTTTAGATAATTCCTTGGGAAAAATCATACGTTATAAGTATGTAATAAAATTCCTTTCGTTCATTTAGAACGATTGCTGAAGGAATTTTACATAATTTTAAAAATTATCTTAAAAAGAAATAACTAATTTTGAGGGTATTATCCTTAAATATTTTTGTTTGTGGGATTTGAACAGAAGAAATAATTTTAAATAAAGTTTTTTTATTTACTTGTATAGCCATATTCATAGTCATTTGTCTGTTTAATTCATTTACTCGAGGACAAGTACTACTTTGTTTTAAATTTTTGCGTATATAATCAACTATTTTTGAAAAACAAAACCAAATAATTAAATAACAAAATATTCCGTAAAGGAAAAAACAAGCAAGCCAAATAACCCAACGAATATCTGACTAAATTTTGAAAAAAATTTTAATGTGGGAGTTTGTCTAAATTTTTATGTCCAATCCCTACAAATACTTAGGCCTAATTATAACTTTAATTATTTCTACCCTATTTCCATAAAGTGTTGGACGCAATGACATTTTTGTATTATTATTAATTGTTTCTCCCAAAATTCGAAGAATTTGTTCATTTTCGATTTTAGCCTCATAAGATGGATATCCAATCCAATAAAAAAATGATAATAAAATTCCTTCAGCAATTGCAGCTATTGTTAAAATTAAGAAATAACCTCCAGTTTTTATCTCAATATCTCTGAAAAATTTTTATTTTTAGAATATTTTAAACTATTTTTTAAATATTTTTATGTATCTTGGAATTTATTAAAAATTTATAGGTCTCCAAACTTTAGGAGATAAAGAATATGGAGTTTGAAAAATAAAAGAAGCCCCTAAAGCCCCCAAAATCCACAGAGAATTTTCGGATTTTCGTTATCTTTATCTAATATCATTTAATTTAATTTAAATTACTTATAATAATAGTAGTTTCTAAACCTGCAGAGAATTAAATATCTATAAACAAATTGTACAGCAACTCCAACACTAACAAATAAACTAATAAAAAACCAAAAATCATAAATTAAAATATTCCAAGGTCTCTCCCAATTATTAACTATTCCATTTTCTATAACAATAGCTATACCATCTGCCACAAAAATTATCTTTAAAAATATTTTAAAAATTTAATTTTAATTTTTATAATTTACAGGTTGTACTAAATGTCCAAATATTAAGAGTGCCAAATCGCAAAAACTTGTTTGTAAAATTATTTTTGCATAAACTCGCATTTCTTTTGGTGTTTTATTTGCTACTAGCCAAATAACAAACAAATTTAAAATGCCCCCAATTGTTAAACAAATTATAGAATTTATATTATAAATTTCTTTTATTGGAAGTAGTGGCTTTAAATTATTTGAATCTTAAATTAAATTATTTAATTTTTTTATTTTACTATAAAATTGTTACCGTTCATAAATGAAGAAATATAATTTAAATGAAATTAAGTAATAATTTAAATACTGAAAATTAAAATATATAATTATTTTATTTTAAATATTCTTAATAAATTAATTGAAAAACTAAATGATTTTGTTGAAAAAAATTAAATAAAAATTAATTTAAAATATTATTCACACACTCAAAAAGTATTTATTAAGAAAAATAAACACTCATTCTCTCCCGGTTTCATTATATCCTTTTGAATTATTTATTTTAGTGAAAATTACGGAAATAGAAATTGCAAGTATAGGAAAGGTTTTCAACAAAAATTTTTATTTAAAGAAATTTTTTTAAAGGGAGAAATAAAGAGATTTAACATAAGGATACATATAAAGCTTTTTTTACCATAAATACCAATTTCCACGTTTCAAACTTTAATTTTCACACACTCAAAAAATTCCAGCGTGTTTATAAAAATAAAAATTCAAATAAAATTTTAATTGTATTTAGCTAATAAAAATATTAAAAATTTCTTTTTATTTAAATATTTTTATTTTTTTAGAATGTTATTGTTGAACTATGAACGGTTAGTTTCTAATGTCAAGGGAAAATATAATCTGGCATAAAATAAATATTTTTCTGTCCATAATAGGAAAAAAAATAATTATTTAATATACGGAAAATAATTAATTTATAAAGTAACAAACATTAAAAATAATATATATTTAATAATAATAACAACAAAATACAAACTCTAAAATTGCAAACAAAAATTAGGTATAATCTAGTCTAAATATAGATATAATTCTGGATATATTTGGATACAAATTAGTGGTTTTTATACAATAAATTTATTTTTTTAAACAAAATATGGAATAAATAAATGTTAGAAAATAAGAGAAATCTAAAGAAAATTAATTAAAATAATTATCCTGGGTAATTATTGTTTCAATCTCTCGCTGGAGGGAGTAATTAATAGAGAGGATGTGCTTTATTTAGGGTATATCTCAATCCATTTGGGGCGAACTTGATTTACTTTTTGATATTGAGTCTTAAAATGTTCCAATAATTAAATTTGATAGTATTTCTTTAAATATTTTTAAAGTTTGAGTAAAATAACTAGGGGGTAATTATTAGAGAGGGTAATTATCTCAGAATTTACGGTAACTTTTGTTTATTTATTTTATTTCCACTGAATTTTCCGAGTCCAATATAACTTACATTGAAAAGTATTTAGCAACTAATTATTTTTTTCTTTAATTTGCCAATTAAATAATACAAAATTTATAAAAAGATTAAGTATCTAAAGTCTAATCTTTAGCATCTTTAAGTAAAATTATTAAAAATATTTGGTTCAATAATTATTTTTTTAATGTCGGTAAATAATCTTTTAGGCAATAGATGTTTCTTAAAAATAAAATTATTGTTTAATAAAAAATTAAATAATTTTTTTAGGTCTAGATTTTATAAAATTCTAATCCATCGATAATCTTAACAAAAAGACTAGGGACTAGAAGACAATTGCGAGAAACGCAGAATGGATGAGATTCTTTCTGCTGGAGATACGTAAAAATTTACTTGAAGCGCGCGCGTCCCAAAATTTATGGCTTGACATAAGTCTAGACAATAATTGGAAATTTAAAAGGACACATAATGGAATATCTTTAAGAGTCCCATTATTTTATATCAGAATAAATAAATTAACCCAATTTCTGTTTTTGTTTAAACAAAATATTATATTTTATTTTTAAATATCTAAAAATAATTTTCTTTAATTTAATAGAGTATTATTTATTATTTTATTAAATTTAATTTAAAATCTTTAAAAAATATTACTTTATGTTTTAATTAAATAAAAATAAAATATAGCGAAAATAAATATTTTTAAAAATATTTTACTTGTATAACAGAGATACCTAAAATAAAAAAATGAAATCACTATTTAAAAATAAATAAAAAAGGCCAAAAAAGGTGGATATATTTTTTGTTAGTTTTTAATTAGAAATTGATACACTAAAAAATAAATAAAAAGAATTATTAATTTTATATTAAATTTCATTTAAATAAACAATGTTGAAATTGTTCTTATGAAAAAATTTTAAAAAATTAATTAAATAAATTTTATAAATCAAAAGAAAATTTTTGATTAATAAAAAGTTTTCCTGTTAAGTTATTAAATAAAATATATTTATGTGGTATATTAATTTTGTGCTATACCAGATGTTTGTCTTGAAAGTCCATTTATTGAAGAACTTGTAGCTCGGTTTATGCTAAATTAAAGCCACGAAAGCAGTGCTAAATTTATCTTTATCTATTTCAATTTTTAAATTTAAGAATAAAATTTTTGTGATATATTTTTTAAATTTTTCTTAGAATTTCAATATTTTAATTTCTAAAAATGTAAATATTTAGAAAATTAATTAATTAAAATTTATTTATTTTCCCTCTAAAAACTTTCAAAATTTAAATTTTTTTGTTTATTAATCCTTTATTATGATCAATGATTATTTAAATATTTCCTTGTCAATCTTTTTCTTCCGCATCTCGGGATTTTAATTGTTAATTCCTGCTTAGGCATGTGTAAGAGGCAAGTAAACAATAGAGGAGAGAAGGCATTTAAATTACTTCCTTCCTCCCTCACTTCCCTCTTATTAAATTCTTTGAATTTTAAAATTTAATTTTAAAAATTAAAAAAATGTTTTTGTCAATAATATTTATTTATTTAATTTTAATTTCTTCTCTTTTTTCTGCTGGAGAGCTCCCAACTCCAAAACGTTTATTTCCATCCATCTTACCACCAAAATCTGTTCAACATAAAAAAGACAAATCAGTTGAAAAATATAAATTTTCGACTCCCTTTAATGAAAAAATATCTTTTGACAAAGAACTTGAAGCATTACAAAGGCAGTCAACATCGGCAAACGAAAAATATTTTGACAAAATTAAAAGATTAAAAGATATATTAAATCCTTCATTAACAAAAGCTTCAGATCCAATTAGCTTGGATGCTTTTAATCGATTTAGAAGAAATTCTGTCGCTGCCTCACCATCTTTAAATTCTAATTCCCAATATTATTCTAAATGGAAGGGATTATCTCGGTTATTAAGTAAAGAGGTGGGGATTTTTAGACAAACTCCGAAGAAACGATTAAATGAAACAATAAAAGAAGTAAATTCCCCAAATGATTCAGATGAAAAACAAATTAAAAAAACAAGTTCATGGCCGAGAACGATTCCTTCTCCAAGATGTATATCTATGCCTAAAGTTGACAGAGGAAAATACTATTTTGTTGAATTTAGACATGAATTGGTTGATCCTGATCCAATTTATGTTGAATTTGAAGATGATCAACCATTTGATAATGGAGGTATTGCTGAAGTAAGTCTATCAAATACTTACTGATATACATATATAGTTGAAATTTAAAAAAAGAAGATTTTATTGGAAATTTTGTTAATATTAATTTGAAAGAATTCTCCGTTGGGAATTCCCAATTTTTAATTCTTTGTTTTGGGAATCGGGATCACCAAACCAAAAAATTACCATCCAGAGAAAATTCCCAATTTTATAAGCTGTCCAAATAATCAAAATAATATACCTCCATTAAATAAATAAATAATAGGTCTACAAAGGTATATATGAAAAACAAAATGTTGCTGTAAAATTGATAGGAAAGGAAACTGTTCAGTATCCGCCTCAGTTAATATGGAGACCTACAATCGACCAAATACTTACTGATCCAAAAAATGAAGTGAAAGTTTTAAAAGAATTTGAGAAATATTTTAATGAAAATAAAAAAGTTAAAAGACGTATAATTCAGCTTATTGACTCGTAAATAATTAATTATTTAAATTAAAAATTTATTTAAATTATTTTAGAGGATATGTCAGAAAAACCGATTTCCTTCTGAGAACGAACAATTATTTTGCCTTTATTATAATTATGGAGTTGGGGGAAGAAAATTTTTATAAAACAATGATTAAAGGTTTTGAAGAAAATGCAAAAAGTTTTTATAAATTTACAGAGAATGCTTTAATGAAAAAATTAATTGAACCTATTGAAGTGCTTATTCAAGTACATAAAGGTTTGTTTGAAAGTAAATATTATTCATTAATTCTATAAAGCATATAGCTTATTTAATTCCTAAGGCTGTGAAGTAGGCGGCGGTAATAAATAACTCATCAGCCCGGTCTACTGAAGATGCTGGTTCGCTCCCAGCTGCCGAATAACCTTTTACACTAGCTAAGGGAGAGAAATAGCTATATCCCAGCTGCTTTATTATTCTTATGGAATAAGTAAACTACATACTTAAACTGAAATATTATAAGTCAATTTAAAATAAAATTATTAATTTATATTTAATTTTTAGAAGCAATTCATATGGATTTTAAACCTCAAAACCTTTTATATGCAAAAGGAAAAAATTCAATTTTAAAAGCTATAGATTTTGGTGGAAGTGTATTATTGAGGGATAATAATGGAAATAGACGAAACAAAATAATTGTAAAAAATCCTACATCTTCTCCTTATTTTTTACCACCCGAAATTAATTGGCAATACCTTGATTTTGTTAAAGACAAAATTAAAAAAAGTTCCAACAAAGATAAATATAGTTTTGAAAGAATGTTTATTGATATAAATGATAAAATTATTGTAATTTTTTATAAAATATTATTGGTTAACAATTTCTAATCTAAGCTTTTTTGATAATTAAATTTAAAAATAATTAAATTAAAAAATTCTTTTTAAAAAATAATTAAAATATTTTTAAAGCAAATTGCTTCAACAAAAACAGATAGTTGGGAATTTGGAATTATGATTTTACAAATGATACTTCTTAATGATACTGCAATAAATTATGTTGGAAATTCTAATTGGAAAAAAGAAATTGTAAAAAATAAAGAAAAATATTTTTAGTCTAATTTAAATTTTTAAGGTAGAAACTTTGTCTAAAATTAACAATTTTTACACAAATTCTGAGGAATGGATTGAAGGAGAAAAAGAGCAAATGGAATCATTTAAGGCAGAAATAAAATTATTATTGGAAATTAGAATTAAATATCCAATACTTTTTTTACTTTTATCGGTTTGATTTTTATATTTAAAAAATAGTTGATATCTATGCTCTCAATACCTACATAAATTCTCACTGTTCCCAACATTATAGATATTTATTTATTGCTCCAAAATAAATAAATAAACCAACACATCTCTCAGAGAGTCCATTAATCGAACTTAAAATTGTTGCCCTTTCTCTCTATTCTTTTTAAAATAATTTCTAAAATATTTTTTATTAGGCTTTAATGAATAAATTGCCGGAAGAACGACTATCAGCTGAAGGAATTCTTGATTTTTTGAACTTAAAATGCAATATAATTAATTTGCTATCATCTAATGCAACTAGTGGTTTCATTAGTATGCTAGATTTGAAAAAACGAAATTTATTTTCCTTCACTGAAGAACAGGGCAAATTATTAGAAAAAGGAGATAAAGAAGAAGAAAATATTTCGAATAAATATTATAAATTGAGAATTGCACCTTTATGTGACAAAAATTTTTAAATGTAAATATATGTATATAGTGAGGGACTTTTCTGTTATACACCCCTATATTGTCTTTTTTCCTCAAAAGGATTATGTGTACATACATAATTTGTTTTTATTTTTATGGGTCTTGTATTATGCTTCTGCCTCTGGATTTATGGTCTTGATACATGTTTTAGCTTATTTGTTCATATATTGGCATTTTAAACTATTAAGAAATAAAAAAGCCCCAATATAACAATAAAAAGCTAAAATTGTATTAATACCGAATGGATATAGGTTTAAAGCTAGATATCGTAAAGACCCAGAAAAAAGAAAAATGAATTTTCTGTCCTATTTCTAATCATTCTGTGGATGAAAGGAAATGTTGGTATTACTAAAGCGGAAAAGTACACAAATGTATGATAATTAAAGATATTAAATATATTTTTATATTTTTATTTAAATTTATTAAAAGATTTTTATTCAATAATTTGATTTTCTGTTTTTCCAATAGTCTCACAATCAGATATAGTAGTTTAAACAAAATTAAAATTTGAGAAAAAAATTTGTTTAAATTAATTTTAAACGTTAAAATATTAGAAAATTTAGGACAAAAAGAAAACATTCTCCAAATCTTTCCAATGTTCGTAATGTTATCTAGAATTTTGTTTTTAATGTAATTAATTAACTCGTCAACAACCGTGAATAATGTGGAAGTTTCAGGGTGATCAGAACAACTCCTGGGGAGCCTTAATTTTTTCGCACAAAACTCAAGACTATTTTATATTATATAAAAGATTATTAAATTACTTCTTTTAAATTTAAAATTCAATAAATAATTAAAATTAATTTTAAAAAATTATTAATTAAACTCAATAAAAAATTTGTATTTTGTATTTTGAGTTATTTTTTAAAAAATTATAATTAAAAGCTGGACTAATAATTATTCTATTAAAAGATAAAAATAAATATTTACCGTAAAAAAACAAAAAATTTTTTAAATTAAACTTGATTTTTAAATTTTGACCAAAAAAATAAAAATAATTTTATTTAAAATTGAATAGAAAAATACAAATTTGTATATTTTGGGAAAAATTTTTATTTTAAATTTGGATGGAAATTTTGGATGGAGAGGATTCACCTTCTAAAAAAAGGTTTTTTTGTATAATTAGCTTTAATTTTACCAATTTTTAAATAAAATTTAATTTGAAATTTAAAAGAATAAATTAATATTTTCTAAAAAATTATTTTTTCTTAAATAAACATTTTAAATTTTATTTTATTTATTTAAAGGCAAATAAGCCCTTAACAAGTATCGAGTAAAAATTTAATTTCTCTCTCTTCATTTAAAAGAATTTTTATTTTTAGAATTGATTTTTAAATTAAGAAATATTTAATATTTTATTTAAAAAAAATTTTTTTAGAAAAAAATGTTTTTTATTAAAATTAAAATATTATTATTTTTAATTTTATATTCAATTAAATTAACTATTCAAGTTAATTTAGAAAATGAACTTGAGAATTTGGAAGAAAGTTTGTTGTCTTAATTAATTTATAATAGGGTTCAATACCGTCCCCAGAGACAGTGGTTCACCGGGGACGGTGGGGAGCTCGTCACTCAGAGCCACCATCCCCGTCCCCCTCAAACAGTCCTGTAAATATTGAACCCTAATTTATAATAAATAATTGTTTTGTTTTATTTAAATTTAATAAACTAATTAATTAGTTAATAATTTAAAATCATATATAAAAAAAGTAAATTAAAGGTATTAACGAAATATTTCAAATTATTGAAGATAAAAATTTAGATCCGAAAGATAAAAAATGTAAATGTGAAGGAGAATATAAATTTAATTGCACTGAAGGTATTTATTAAATAAATATTTATTTACATAAAATAATTATTTTAAGCTTGCTCTCCAAATGGAATTAGTTTTTTGGTTGAAGGGTTGGAGAAAAGTGATTTTGGATTGAGTTTAGGTAGTTCTGATTATCAAAGAAGTCGAGAGGCAAATGGCAAGTCATAATTTTAATTAGAAGAAAAAATGAGTTTCTAATTCGGTCTGGAAATAAAATAAACAGGATATGGAGGAGGTGTTGCCCGAAACAAGACATAGTTTCGACACGAAGCTTGATTCGAAATACGGTGACCCGAAACGAAATTTTTTCAGAGAATGAAGAATCCGGACTCTGTCTTCCAAAAAAATATATGTAATTCCGGCTTCCTGTTATATGTACACTGATACAAAATGTGTTTTTCTATACATTTCAAACCAAGACAATTCGCAAAAATCTTAACAATTATTTGTGTCAAATAAATTCCGTTCTGAATGAACAAGAGTTTTTAAATTTAAGGCTTTATTTATTGCAATAAAAATAGCTCCGACAACTTAACATTATTGAATGTGTTTTATGATAGTCAGAAAACTCCAGATAATTATGCCCCAGAAGTATATTTTTAAAAATAATTAAAACTTTTTAAAAATTATGTTTCAAGGCAATTCGCATTCTTTGCCTCGGAAGTGGAGGAATGGATAATTTTTGTGTTTGTAATAAAAAAGGAGATTGTTACACGCCCGTTAAAAATAATACACCAACTTATGTTGAATTGGCGCCTTATTGTGATCCATATGAAGGTATTAGGAAAGGCTTTTTCTAGGAATTAAAAGAAGGAAAATTAAATTTCAAATTTTAGGTCCAAATGTTTATATGGAACTTTATAAAGGTGAACTTAATTTGGAAAGCGACAAAACAAAATTATATAAACAAAAATTTAACGATGGTCCCTTTGGTTGTGGTTCTGAATATATGAAAATTTCTGCGGTTAGCTGCAATGGATGTTCAAAAATTGGACAAGCAGTTCGTGAAAAAACATGTAAAGGGGAGTATGTTCCGAATAAATTGGACGCACAAAATATTCGAGATATTTTATTTGGCATAAAAGGAACAACAATTAATCCATAAAAACTAAAAGAAAAGGATGTGACAATTTCGCTGTGACAATTTCGGGATGTGATAATTTCGCCTTTCTTTTTTTTATTGACTTCACCTCTTTTTTAAATTCGGTTTTGGTAGACCTCTGCTACATATTACCCACTCCCCCTATCTATTTTATTTTCCTCGTAAAGCAAAATCTTTTATCTGATTAAATATTTCTTTTATTAATTTATTTCTCTTTTTTAAGTAAATTATTTAAATCTATTTTTATAAATGAAATGATTAAATTTAAAAATTTAATTAAAATAACTGACGGAAAATTAAGTGCAAGCTCCGAAATTATGAAATTACACGTTTGTTTAATTTCTCTCTCTCAATAAGACAAATTTGTAAGACTCAAATAACAAATAAGCTTAAAATTTTGTTAAAAATATTTAATAATTTATTGAAATTTTATTAAAATTAATAATTTTTAATAGTAAGTAAATGAGTGCTTTGGAATTCTCAAATAAAATTTCCCAAAATCCAATTATTTTACAAGATTTAAATTTTAAAATTAGTCAAATAATTATTGGAAATGTTCAATTAGATTTACATCCAAAAAAAGAAAATTTGCCTTTTTGTCTAAATAATTTTGATTTTGTTGGAGCAAAATGTTCGGTTACTTTAATTGAAAAAATTGGGGAAAATTTTAAAATGATTGTTGATTGTGCTAGTCCTTTTGAGAAAGAACAACTTTTTGAAGGTTTTTATCAAACAAATAAAATATTTTTAACAAAATCAATCCTAAATTTTTAAAAATCGGTGATATTAAACCTGACAGACGCAAATTTTTCCTCCCCAACTTTTTCCTGTATGTATATGTACAGATAGGTCAGACTTCCCTTCCATCCCAATTTTCCTTTCTTCCATAAAGAGGAAATAAAAATTAATTCTTCTTAATTGTTTGTAACCAAAATATAGAAAGGCAATGGAATGGAAGAAAGAAAAAAGTCTGACCATTCTGTACATATATAGAAAAAGTTGTGGAGGAAAAGAATGGGGTCTGTCAGGTTCAATATTACCAAAAAATCTCTCACAATTTAATTATTTAAGCATTAAAATTAAATGGAATAAATGATCTGTCACAAATTACTCATTTAGTAATTACCCATTGGCATATAGATCATTGTGGTTTAATTAATTTATTTAAAAATGCAAAATTAATAACACCAGAAAATATTAATTTAAAAGATTTTAATCAAATATTTGAAATTCCAAAAAATATTAATTTTAATAAATATTCTGGTCATTCTTGTGGCGATTTAATTGTTTGTATTAATTTAAATAAAAATAATTTGGTTAATTTTTAAAAATATTTTTTTAAATAATTAATTATTTTTTAGAATATTTCCGGTTTAGTTGACAAAAAATATTTTTTAAAAGAAAAAGAAAATTTTAATATTTTAATTTGTGGTTTGATTTTAATTAATTTTAGAAAGAAAAAATAATTATTTTAAAGGAGATATTTTTGAATTTGAAAATGATTGGTTAGGGGAAGAAATTTGGAAAAGTTCTTCTTTACTACCAGATAGACAGTCGATAGCTAGATGGCTTTGTTGGAATAAATCAGATTTTATTATACCTGGGCATGGGCCTGGATTTTCAATTTTAGAGAAAGAATATACTTCTCAGGGACCTGTTTTTGGAAAAATATTTGTTTGTTTTTAAATTAAAGAGATTAAATTTTGGGTATTTTAAATAAAAAATACTGCACTAGTGACCGGCAAAATCATTTTTCCGGGCCCAGAAACCCGATTTTGAATTTTATACTCATGCCGGACCGGATCCGGCCGGATTTTTCTGATTAATCCGGTCCGGGTTTAGTCAGGAAATCTAAAAAACCCGGATTCGGGACACGGTCTCCGGAAAATCCAGCCAGAGTCCCGTCCGTCACTGGCCACTACTATGAGTTATATGCCCCGTTAAGTGAAAAATAGATTTTTGTAGAAGATTTTTTAAAAATTTTTGGACTATTTTTTATTATTTTCAATCCAAATATCAATCAAAAGAGGGAAGAATGGAAGGACAATTTTAATTTAATTTTTATTTTTTCCAGTTTGAATCAGACAAAATTCCAATTTCTCCTCAAAAATCCAAAATAGAAATAAAAGAATTACTTCAATTTAATGTTTCTATTAAAGAAAAACATTTACTATCAATTTATATTTATTTAATTAAATCAATTAATTTAAATATTTTAGTAAATACTGGAGGTATAGAACAAAGAAATTGTTTAATTAAAGGTATATTTACCTAATTAAATAAAAAAATATTTTTTTTATTTTAAGCATTAAATTCAGAAAATCTTTCTCCTTCTTCCATTAATTTTGTTATAATTAGCTGTCCTGGAGAACATTTTTGTGGAAATTTAGCTGATTTTCCAACATCAACAATTTTTATGTGTACAGACATTGCTGTACCTGGTCCTTTTTATGCAACATTTGATCATGTAAATAATTATATTTATTTATTTTAAAAATATATAGAATTTCGTGAAATAAATTAAATTATAATAGATAATGTTAGTGGTTAGTGTGTGGAGTATTTGTATAGATTAGAAATCGAAACCTGGTAATAATGAATGGGTGTTAGATTTTTGTGTAAAATTTTAAAAATAAGTATGATAACCCAAATTTAAATTAGTCTAGTAAATAAAAATCAGAACCGCCCTATCTCCGCATCAGACGTGGGCGAAACGTTTCGTTTCGTTTCGTTGTTTCGTATGTTTCGTATGATTTTTACTGTTTCGTCTCGTTTCGTTACGAAACACTTTTAAATTTGTTTCGTTTCGTTTCGTTACGAAACACCTGTGATTTTTCAACGAAACGAAACAATTTTTTAAGCCTAAACTAAGGCCAAAATCTATAAAATTTACCATCTTTTATTGAAAATTTAAAAAATTTTCGCCTGCGGCGCTGAAAAAAAAAGAATTTCGGCTTCTTGGCTTTCCCAAATTGTCAAAATTTTCGCCTGCGGCGCTGAAAAAGGAAGATAGCAATTACTTATATACTACAAATCCGTTTATACTCCACTCCCTAATCCACATATACATATTACTTAATCGACGACAAATTCTATTACCGGACTCGCATCATAATTTAAAAATTGCGGATTGCGAGTTGCGGAAATACTGGAACCGGAACTTCCGGCGAAGCACTAGCTTATATCGCCTTCCTCTCGAAATGGAGATATGGAGACAATTTGGGTAGGCAATGGAGCAAGATGGTGAATTTTTTGGCCTACGGCCTTTCAAAATTTTAAAATTTTTCGTCTGCGGCGCTTAAAATAAAATTTTACTTGAAAAATATTCAATTTTATTTAAAAAAAAGCGTCGCCAAAAATTTGGCTTCGAAAATGATTGACCCCCCCCCCCCTTCCCCGAAAATTTTCCTTGCTACGGGCCTGGCTTATGGGACACAATTGTTGTAAATAAACCAATAACTAAATCATTTATAAGTCATAGTCGACTAATAACGTATTTGAGGTCGAATAATTTCGAAATAAATGCAGTTTTGAAAATTTTTTGAATATTAAAATGTTTCGTTTTGTTTCGTTTCGTTTCGTAAGATTTTGGTTGTTTCGTTTCGTTTCGTTAACGAAACGATTTTTAAAAAATTTTGTTTCGTTTCGTTTCGTCAGAAAAAAATTTTGAGTTTCGCCCAGGTCTGCTCCGCATCGAAAGAGAAAATTTTCATAGTAATAAATTTGAGTACCTATTTGGTTTTCGAAGAATATTAAGCCGGTTTCTCAGAATTCCTCTTCGGACGGGTTATTTATATTAAAATTGAATTAAAAAATAAATTTATTTATTAAAAATAAATTTAAGCATTTTACTTTTTTGGATGAAGATGGACAAATAAGTGTTTGGCGTGATTTAAGAACAGATTCAAGTGATAAATGTGTATTATCAATTTTGGTTGATAGAGAAGGGGAAGGAAGGAATTTTGATTTTATTGGAGTTAAAATTGACGAATACCTTCTTACTCGTTTTGGGTTAAATGAAGAGAATATTTTGATTAGAAAAACATTTTATGAAATTCCAAAATGTGCTTGTTAGAATTTTTGTTAGAACTTTATATTTTTATCTTATATGTAATATACTATGTGTATATTTAATTTATTAATAAAATTCCCAGAAATTTACATAATATTTATATAAAAATTATATTTCCTGATGTTTTTTCTTTAGAATCTGAAAAATTAATTAGGTTTTATTAGTGATAAAAATTATTAAGGACAGTTTAATAAAACGAGGGATTGAGGGGGGTGACTTTGCTCGTTTTGATAATTTTAGAATATATTGGAGCATCAATAATTACATTCTAGGGATTTCGATGATTAGATAAAAAAAAGTTATTGACCTAAAAAATGCAAAAGAAGTTCTTTATTAGAATTGTTACCATGGAAATATTTATGTACTACTTCTATTTAAAAATATGTAAATAATAATAAAAATTAAAAAATATTCTTAAAAATTAAAAATGAGCGTTGGACAAGGAAATTGTTCTCTTAAAACAGCATTCGGATTTAGTTTTGCCCACAGATTGGTTGCTGCCGCTTCTGGTTCATTTGATGAAAGTGGTCATGAACAGTTAGTTGTTGGTACAGAAACTGGGAAAATTTGTCTTCAGGGAAGTGGTTGGGTTAAAATTTTTAAAACTTGAAAATAAATTATTTTTTGTCAGAATCTGTATTTCATGTAAATGATAAAATAAATTTTTTGAGTGTCTACAAACACAATAGGAAAATAAAAGAACAATCCATCAAGTCTTCAGATAATTCTGAGTATGATATTGTGATTATTGGCACAAGTGTAAATATTTTTTAATAATAAATGATTTAAATATTATACATAGTAGGACCTCTATTTTACGATAAAAATTATACGTATGTATCAAGGGGTATCCATTATTGGGAGAGCTTTCCTCACCCATCTCTTAACGAATTTTAAAAAATGTATCTAAAATTGAGTGTGTATTTATTATTAGGTGTATGTAGATCTAACCTTATACATATTTATTTTAATTATTTTTAGAATAGTTTAATGGCTTTCGATGTATTTAATAATAAAACAATTTTTCATCGTGAAATCACAGAAGGGGTGAATTTCATTAAAGTTAATGAAGCATTTAAATATTTTTAATAATAATAAAAATTTTAAGATTGGAAATATAGATGAATATAAAAATGAAAATGTTATTATTTGTGGGTGTGGAACAACTATTTGGGGTTGAAATAATTATTGAAATTATTTTAAAATTAATTTTGATTAATTTTTAGGTTTCCAATTAGATGGAAAGGACTTATTTTGGACTGCTCTTGGTGATCAAATTAATGTGTTAGAACTGTGTGATATGGATGGGGATGGTCTAAATGAAGTTTATAAATAATGATAAATATTTTATTTATTCTATTATTTCTTTAGCTAATTGTAGGCACAGATGGAATTGAAATTAAGGCAAAAATATATACCTATTTTTATAAATTAAAATTAAAAATATTTTTAAAGGTTCTTAAAAACGCTTCCTTTTTTGCTGAATTCGATGAAGGAGACCCAACATTAGCTATTATTGCTATAAAGTTAATTTTTGTTTTTACTTAGTAATTATATTTGTTAGTATCTTAACAACCCCCTCCCCACTCCCCTATTAAAATGTTTAGGCCAGCAACTTTTGCTTTTGGCCTTTCATCTGGTGTTGTTGGTGTTTATGGACAAGGTGAACGTCTTTGGCGTGTCAAAACAAAATCAAGAATTGTATCCTTACTTTCATTTCCTGATCAAAATCACGTTGCCTGTGTTTGGCAAAATGCAAAAGTAAATAAAATAAAAAATATTTTTGACAATAATATTCTTCTTTTAATTCCCCTGAGATTGATATTCGTTCTGTATCTACTGGAGAGATTCGTACAAAAGATCAATTAGAAGGCGGAGAATTAAGTATAGCTTTTTTGGTGGATTTAGCTGGCGTTGGTCCTTTGGATTCAGGAGAGGAACAGCCTCAATTAACATTAGTTTTTAAAAACGGACAAGGCTTTTAATAATTAAAATTTTTGTGGTTTATTTCCATTTATAGTTCGTGCTTTGGAATTTAGAAGTGATCCAAGTTCAGTTGATGAAGGCCAGCAACTTCGCGAAATAAATCAACGCAAACATGCATTACTGGTTAATTTAAATCAAATAAAATTTAAAAAATATTTTGTTTAATATTGACTCTCCCTTTATTCCCTGAGGGAATCGACGAGAAGTAATACTGTAATAGGAGTGTATTATTTTAATAATGACATCTCGGCTTTGAAGAAAATATACGTGATATTAATGGAAATTTATTTTTTACAGGAAGAATTAAGAGTTTACGAACGTCCCAATGCTGGAGGTACCGAGGATCCCACAGAGAGAATTCCTTTGGAATATTCCATGGTGCCTGTTGGGACTTCACTTAGTTAGTCTTTATTTCTCCTAATTTTTAATTTTGTATTTTCAATAATTTTTGGTTGTATTCTGGATTTGTCTGGAGGATTGTCATCAACATTTAGCATAGGTCGAAGCAGCATTTCTAGTAATATTAGTGAAATTTCTGGAGCTATTCGTGAAAGGGAATCGCTTTGTTTAAGACTAACACTTTCTAATGAAGTACCAATTCGAGCTGCACTTCTCTTTGCTGAAGGAATTTTTGATTCTGAATGTTATACTGTGTAAGGAATTTTTGAAATAATCCAAACACATCAGGGTGGCCTTTTCCAAACCACTAAAATCTAACTCTAATAATAAACCGACAGTCTCTTTTTCAGTGCCGCGGGCAAAAATTTTGAAAATTTATAAAGTTAAGAAGCAGATTTTTTCCTTTTTTAGCGCCGCAGGCGAAAATTTTGGGATTTTAAAGTCAGATTTCATTGATTTTCGCATTTTATTCAAATAATGCCAGAAAATTTGAAAAATTTTAAAAATTGATAAAAATAGGGCAAAATATGGTAAATGTACAAAATAGGGAAAAAATAGGGCGAAAAGATCAAAAATAGGGAAAATGCCCTGTAAATAAGGCAAAAGGGACACACAGGCCTCGGCGGTAGGTTGGGCTCTGGTAGTTGGCCTGTCAAGATGACCACGTCAAGTTGACGTCAATATGCTGTTGTAGACCACGACCACGTCAAGATGACTGTCGTCGACCACGACCACGTCAAGATGACTGTCGTCGACCACGACCACGTCAAGATGACTGTCGCCGACCACGACCACGTCAAGATGACTGTCGACGACCACAACCACGTCTTCGACCACGACCACGGTCGTCGACCACGACCACGTCAAGACGACTGTCGTAGACCACGTCAAGATGACTGTCTTCGACCACGACCACGGTCGTCGACCACGTCCAGATGACTGTCGACGACCACAACCACGTCAAGATGACCGTCGTTGACCACGACCACGGTCGTCGACCACGACCACGTCAAGATGACCGTCGTCGACCACGACCACGTCAAGATGACTGTCGTCGACCACGACCACGTCAAGATGACTGTGCCGACCACGACCACGTCAAGATGACTGTCGACGACCACAACCACGTCTTCGACCACGACCACGGTCGTCGACCACACCACGTCAAGACGACTGTCGTAGACCACGTCAAGATGACTGTCTTCGACCACGACCACGTCTTCGACCACGACCACGGTCGTCGACCACGACCACGTCAAGACGACTGTCGTAGACCACGTCAAGATGACTGTCTTCGACCACAACCACGTCTTCGACCACGACCACGGTCGTCGACCACGACCACGTCAAGACGACTGTCGTAGACCACGTCAAGATGACTGTCTTCGACCACGACCACGGTCGTCGACCACGTCCAGATGACTGTCGACGACCACAACCACGTCAAGATGACCGTCGTTGACCACGACCACGGTCGTCGACCACGACCACGTCAAGATGACCGTCGTCGACCACGACCACGTCAAGATGACTGTCGTCGACCACGACCACGTCAAGATGACTGTGCCGACCACGACCACGTCAAGATGACTGTCGACGACCACAACCACGTCTTCGACCACGACCACGGTCGTCGACCACGACCACGTCAAGACGACTGTCGTAGACCACGTCAAGATGACTGTCTTCGACCACGACCACGGTCGTCGACCACGTCCAGATGACTGTCGACGACCACAACCACGTCAAGATGACCGTCGTTGACCACGACCACGGTCGTCGACCACGACCACGTCAAGATGACCGTCGTCGACCACGACCACGTCAAGATGACTGTCGTCGACCACGACCACGTCAAGATGACTGTGCCGACCACGACCACGTCAAGATGACTGTCGACGACCACAACCACGTCTTCGACCACGACCACGGTCGTCGACCACACCACGTCAAGACGACTGTCGTAGACCACGTCAAGATGACTGTCTTCGACCACGTCTTCGACCACGACCACGGTCGTCGACCACGACCACGTCAAGACGACTGTCGTAGACCACGTCAAGATGACTGTCTTCGACCACAACCACGTCTTCGACCACGACCACGGTCGTCGACCACGACCACGTCAAGACGACTGTCGTAGACCACGTCAAGATGACTGTCTTCGACCACGACCACGGTCGTCGACCACGTCCAGATGACTGTCGACGACCACAACCACGTCAAGATGACCGTCGTTGACCACGACCACGGTCGTCGACCACGACCACGTCAAGATGACCGTCGTCGACCACGACCACGTCAAGATGACTGTCGTCGACCACGACCACGTCAAGATGACTGTGCCGACCACGACCACGTCAAGATGACTGTCGACGACCACAACCACGTCTTCGACCACGACCACGGTCGTCGACCACGACCACGTCAAGACGACTGTCGTAGACCACGTCAAGATGACTGTCTTCGACCACGACCACGGTCGTCGACCACGTCCAGATGACTGTCGACGACCACAACCACGTCAAGATGACCGTCGTTGACCACGACCACGGTCGTCGACCACGACCACGTCAAGATGACCGTCGTCGACCACGACCACGTCAAGATGACTGTCGTCGACCACGACCACGTCAAGATGACTGTGCCGACCACGACCACGTCAAGATGACTGTCGACGACCACAACCACGTCTTCGACCACGACCACGGTCGTCGACCACGACCACGTCAAGACGACTGTCGTAGACCACGTCAAGATGACTGTCTTCGACCACGACCACGTCTTCGACCACGACCACGGTCGTCGACCACGACCACGTCAAGACGACTGTCGTAGACCACGTCAAGATGACTGTCTTCGACCACAACCACGTCTTCGACCACGACCACGGTCGTCGACCACGACCACGTCAAGACGACTGTCGTGGACCACGTCAAGATGACTGAAATTTTAAATCTTGAAATTTTAAAATTTGATAAAAATAGGGCAAAATATGACAAATGTACAAAATAGGGAAAAAATAGGGCGAAGAGATCAAAAATAGGGAAAATCCTCTATAAATAGGGTAAAAAGGCCACCCTGAAACAAATTCTAATTTTTTAGTCATCCAAATGGAAAAGAAAGCGCAGAATTAAATGTAAATTTTTGTCCTGCAAAAAATGTTTTTGCAGAATTATTTATAAAAGTATTTGCTGGCTATTCAATTGAGTACTTTTTTTAAATTTATTTTAGTAGTTAACCCCCCCCCTCCGAGTCGCCTGTCAAAAATCACTCTAGTTAATCAATCAAAAGGTGTGAGGGTATTTCCTTTTCCTTCCCCACCCACCCTACTAACCAAAAGCCTTTGAGGCTTTTCCTCTCTCTTTTGTTATCCCTCCAAAACAAAAGCTATTGAAGCTTCCCTCCCCCACCCACCCACCCACTAACCAAAAGCTATTGAAGCTTTTTTTTGCTTCCCTTACTCACCCCACAAACCAAAAGCTTTTGAAGCTTTTCCTTCTTTCTCCTTCCTCCACCCACCTCACTAGCCAAAACCAATAGGGCTTTTCTTTTGTTTAGCCCACCTAAACATTTTGATATCCACCAAATTATGCAAATGCTCCACGCTCTCTTTTTTCCCTCGGCCGAAAAAATTACGCAATATTTTCGCTTTGTAAAAATTAAAGCTTTTGCCTCCCGAAAATAAAAAACGGGTGTAAATTAAAAAATACTGTAATAGGAAGGAAAAATGAGAAAAAGGAAAATGAGAGGAAAAATTAAAAAGTAATAGAAATAAAAAATAAATGGAAATAAAAAGTATGTATAATCAAACAATTACCCTCACTCTATTAATAACCCAAAATAAAAGAAAAAATACTTTAATAGAAAATAAAAATAAATTATGGTAAATAAATTAAAATAAATAAATTTAAAAAACAAATTCAACAATTACTCGTCGTCTCAGCAATTAACCTAATCTTAATATATATTTTTAAATTCCCTTCTTTTTATTTACTAATATTTCCCTCTAAATCTTGAAATTCTTACTTTATGCAAATTTTCTTTTAGTTACCCTTCGTGACAGCCTTCCTTACTTCAAATAGAGTATAGGATTGTAAAGAAGGAACTTAAAAATTGGTATAGATGCATAAAAATTCTTTTATGCAAATTTCATAAATATCTCTTTCCTTTTCTAAAAATTCCCTCTTTAATTCCCAAGAGATTCAAAGCTGAAAATAAAAGGATCCGAAATAAAGTTTAAAAGTATTACGAAATCCTCTTCTTTTGCATTTCCTCTATGCAAATTTAACTTCCTCCCCGACTGGAAAATAATGAAATGGAATTTCAGTGATTTTACAACACATCAAATATTTTATGGATCCTTAAAAGTAAAGGATTTTCGATTTCTTTCTTCATTCTTGAAAATTTTAAGAAATTTAATACTTTTGAATTAGTCTCTAATTTTTAATTTATTTTATTATTAATGTCTCCTCCACCTTCGA